AAGTCAGTAACCATCTGCACCTTTAGCTATAAGCAGCAGAAACTCAGAGATTCAGAATGTGACCCAGAAACCCCCCCAGCCCAGGGCTTCTGGGCAAGGAAATGCTTGCTTGTGGCCCCAGAAAGCCACGGCACCCAGCAGGCATTAGGCTGATGCCAGTTTTGGTACTGACCTCACGTGGGATGGACCAGGATTCAGTGCTGCTAATCACTGCTGTGTACAATGGAGAAATGCAAATTTTTCCTCTCATTACACCTTCTTGCAGCTACAGCAAAGCCATTCCTGCAGGTAATTGCTGCTCGCACTTCTCAAGCTCACCGCCTTACCATGGGGTTGCAGAAAATTGGTGCAGGCTCCATTTCAAGATGGAGAAACCCAGCAAAATGCAGCCATTGGATTGTGATTTATCAAAACTCCATACAACAGAACAGCGATTTGTTTTGCTTTAAAGCCTGCAATCACATTCCTAATTTAAAAGCAAGCATTTGGCTACTCTGTGGAGTAAGCATCTTTCCTCTGAGATTCACTTTAAGGTGAGAAAGAAGCCTGATAATCAAAACCAGATTTGCACTCCATGCTCCCATGTGGGTGTTGGGTACGGCCCAGGGAGCCTCCTCTGCCTGCTCCCATTTCCTACCTGTGAAACAGGAAGAGCAGCACTACCTTCCTGGTAAATAGTTGTCATGGCAGGGATATTTAATGCCTTGCTAATGCAGCAGAGATGCAGAGTGGATGCACAGCTGTCACTACTGAGCCATCAGAAGGGCAAGAGGGCACACCGACACGCTTTTCTTCTCTAAGAGTGGCTGAAGGTAACGTTCTACAGGTTCTCATGCCACACACCAGGCTCGGGGCCGCACTGTGATACCCAATTACCAGCCAGCACCTTTTTTTTCCTCCTCCTCCCTTTAAAAGAAAAAAAAGACACAAGCATATAATAATACAACCACAATTTGAAAAATCAGGCCCCTGGCATCCTTTGGTGAAGCTTAGGCTGAAAACTTATCCCAGGATGCGTGATCTTCCAAAAATCTGCCAACCCCTGCAGTGTTCAAACTGCTGGTATGACCACAGCCACATGAAGAATGAAATTAAACCCCATGGAAATCTTTGACATTTCTGCTATTATGCAATGTTTGGGTGAAAAAAAAAATGGAGAAATTCTCCTTCCCTTTCCAGAGCAAGTTTAGAAAAACTATTTCTAACTTTTTTAAATTACACATTTCACCATTAAAAGAAACCATCCATAAATTAAAAGAACCACTAACTAGGGCTTATGTAACCCATTTAGGGTGGGAAATTGGGAACACTTGGGAGAGAAGTCTGTTCTGTAATTCTGGAGCCTACCACATTCTTCTGACGTGCACAAACATCAGAGAAATTGCTGATTTAATATTTGCATTAACATTGTACACAAGGGGCTCATGTAGAGAGAGGGTGTGATGCCGGTATCCGCGTCCTATAGAATCTAAAGGGAACTTTTTAATATAGATGTAATTGTCTGAGGGACAGTTTGTTACAGATTTACTTTATCTGTTTCTGATATGAAAGCTGCCTTTCTTTTTGCTTGAAAGAATGCTTATAGCTTGTGGAAGGATCTCACCCAGCCCGACTCGGTACACCACACCTGGCATATATGGATGAAATAGAGAAGTTGCATAAAATTTATTTTTCCGCCTTGTTTTACAACATTCCCTTTTAAGTTCTTACACATCTGCAACATACAACTCCACAGAACAATAAATAATTGGCATTCATATTTCTCTTGGACAGAGTATATTTACACGTTGTTTAACTAGATGACAGGTACAAAACATTGGCATCACAGTAAATATCATTTTGACACCAGAATCCATCTCCCCCAATTAAAAATTAAATTAACATTTAATTCTTAACAAATTTTAACAATTAGAAATGTTCTCAAAGGCATATAAGTACACAAATTGTAGTAGGCAGTAGTAATGGACCATATTGGCAAAGCTGTAGAACCCAGGATTTCATGCAAATCAAAGGGTTTATTAACTCTGCAGTAACTAATAGTAAATACAAACTAAATGAGCCCATGCAGCTCACGCTGAAGGTCCCAGCAGGCCCTGAGATGGCCCTCACTACGCAGCCGTGGAGATGCACCAACCCACCTGAAGGGCTGTGTGCAATAGCACACGACAGCACCTGCCTGGTGCTGAGCACTGCTGGTGCAAACAAAGGATTTACGATGCATCTTGTGATGCAGCAGCTCTCTTTAAAAGATAAAGCCAGAAGAAGCTGTAGGGATTCACACATCTAACTCACCATGGTCCCTGATGAACCATAGCAAAATTCCCTTCAAGAGTTGCAGAGGGCAAAGGAGTTTGTCATAGCATTTAATTGTGATTTTGCAGCAGACCACAGACAAACAACCCTTGGTGCTGCTGAGTTCGATCCAGCCACAGCTGCAGCTCTCAGCACGTAGCTCTCAACGCTGAGAGGACACCAGGGATGTCACTCATCACTCAGCTCAGTTCTGATAAGGCTGCGCTCAGATTTAAATGCTGCTGCGGAATAAAGAACGCTGCAATTTAATTGCAATATGAGCTGAGCAGAACGAGTGTTTGCAAAGATAACCTGAGGCAAACCATGGGAAATGCATGTGAGAGTAAAGGGAAAAAAAAAAATGAAAAGGGTTGCAACACACCTGGAATTAGTGCAGCGATGTAGGAACAGAACAGTGCGTGGCACACGACCTGCACACCACTAAGCACAGCACAGCTTCCCCACAGCAGGCAGGGGAACAGGAGCACCCAGGCACTGCCATCCCACAGCAGCACTCGGGGCGCAGTCCCAAAGCTCACACATTGCACAAACTGCTGCAGCACACAAACCAGAACAACAAAAAGGGGAGGGAAAAGAACACTGATTGAATCTACGCACAAGGTACTGCATACCAGAAGGAAACAATGCTTTGCTTCCAAGAAGCACAAATTATCATCACACTAGATGAAAGAGATTAAATTAAATTTCCAACAGAGAATGCATTTATTCATGTGTATGGTAAGCAGGAACATATTTATTAAACTTTGCTTTTAAAAAGATGTTTAAATAACTTAAGAAAAATAAACTGCAGACGTAAAGTGCTAAACTTGAAAAATACAACAGTCCCTCCTCCCTCCTGCTGTTCTTGAGATGGCAGTTTTAATTTTCTGGTTGCTTTAAAAAATGCAGCGTCTAACCAGAGAGAAATTTCTTCCTGGATTTACAACCCTGTGCAAAGGAACCCCGCCTCCACCCCAGGACACGGCCACAGACTGCTCCCACTGCCACCAAACGGGCCTCCAGCATTAAGGCTGTGATGCAATAAACGATACTGAAATCACAGGGCACTCCCTTTCTTGGTGTAAGCTGATATTTTGCAAATATGGTCCACTCAGTGTAAACTGTACTGACTTTGGGAAACAGTGAATTCTACCACAGACACAACTCAAATATTTACAGGCGGTAGCGCAGCACTGCTGTCCCCGTGGGACACACACACAGGGATGGGGGTCCTACACAGATGCGTACCACGATGTATCTTCTGAAGGACAAGAGGGACTTCTTAGCGGCAAGAAACTGCCAAAGAATTCTTGATTCTCATTCTTATATCTACTTAAATCAGATATTGACGGGGACTCAGAACATCCGCACGTCTGACACCATTCAGGAATTGCAGCAAGTCGCAATGAAGGGAACGTGAAGCACCTTTTGGCACATGGCATCATTCACAAAACGCTGCCAGCCCAACTGCTCCAAAACGGGGCTGCACAGACACTGCTTTTTATCCTTGGAGACGAACCAGCGAGCGCTGTGGGACTCACAGCACCTTTCCCAAAACAGCCGTGTTTCAGAGGGGTGGAAATGCACACTGTTATACTATTATTACTTTTAGGAACAATTTAGAAGAGAAGGAATGAAAGGCAACATTTTGAAAACATGCCTTCCTGAACACAGGGGGTTCTCCTCACATGAAATCCTTTGGAACTTGCTTCCCTCCTCTTTGATATTTCCGCTCCACAACTGAGAACAAGGAAGGCTGCCCAGGTTGTCCAAAGCATTCCTCAGAGCAATCACCACACAAGCCACAGCGATCTTAAACTTGAAAACCCGAGATGCACCACCATGGATCAGCAGAGACTCCAGCTCTCCTTTTGAAACAACGCTCCCATTTTCCACTGCTTTTCACACCAGAGCTTTTCATGCCGCTTGCAACAGCGGCTGTGGCAATGGCAGTGGAAGCTGGCAGCCCATGAAAGGCGCCCTGCGTGGCACAGAGACGACAGGAGCGTCTGCTCCGTGCAGCGCCCAGCCTGGACGCGCTGCCCCAACAGCCCGAGGTGTGCAGGCACACAGCTCCGCCATTCCCACCGCTCCAACAGCCGCCCTGCAGCGGCGCCAGCAGTGCCAGCCACCACTGGTTTCTGTGATGTGGGAACGAGACAAAAAGCAACTAATTTATCACAGACCGAACGGCCATTAGATGAGGATGGCTGCCACTATACAAGCTCACCATGATTGATGCACAGCCCCAGCAGCAAAAGGTTCCTGTGACTGCTGTTCTCCTGAGCTGTCTGTGCATGTGCAACCATCCTCACTGCGTTACAATGGGGGCTGAACCTCATTACAAAAGCAAAACTCACCAGATTAAAATATATATATATATTTTTTGCTTTGCATACAAGCCTAATGCCTTTGTACCCTGCTCCTGCCTCTGATTCAAGTTTGGTTTTTATAGTGAAGCACATGGAAGGTTCTCAAAAACTGCCTTCTGTAGGGACTTTGTCACAAACAACATCCACCAGGAGTCCCTCGGCTTACTTGCAGCCCATCTTCACTGCTCTGCCCTAACAGGAAGCAGACCTGGTAGAGCTGCGAGGAGCAGCAGCTCTGTGACCTTTCCTTTCAGTCTCCAAGGATTCGAGCCAGTCTGACACACTGTCTGCAGAACAGTACAAGTCTCTTCTCACCTTGTCAACACGTTTCAAGTCTGATCAACTGCAAATTTATTTTCCAAAGGAAATTTGCTTAAGTTTAGATAATTCTCTCCTATACAAATAAATATACAGTAAAGCTATTATGTCACCAGCTCCTTCTAGCAGGAAGCACAAAAGCTAAACAAACCTCCATTTCTTCATTTTGGATTACATTTCTCTGTAGTTATCGATGGCTGGATACCACCAAAATCACTAGGGTGAGCACTGACAGGAAATCTCAGACAAGCTCAGATTCTCAAGCATGTGCAGACTGGAGCCCCACTATGGGAACAGCATGCCATAAATCGGGAATCTGTTGTCAGCACTACAGCGCATCACCTACAGTAAGGGATTTCCAAGATGTAAAAAGAACGTACCTACTTGAATTGAAAAGATAAATATAAAACTACACAGCACATTGCAAGGAACACCACAGATACTTAAAAAATTAAAAATTGTCAAATATAAATGTTGAGGTCAGTTAGCAGCTTTTGGATGCTTTTAACCACAAGTGAGAAACCAATCATCACCATAGCTGCACGCATTTGACCCCAGTTAAGTTAAACAAAAGTGACAAAAAGTGGCTGAACTCATAAGTGCCTCCACTCTCCAAAGAACTCCCTTGTACCAGCCAGTCTCCATTCATGGCAGTTGTGAAGTCTTTTTCAATGAAGCAGCATGTAATAGAGATTACCACATGATCCTTATGCAAATATCAGACGTATTTGTTATAGTAACAACTACACGATTTTTGCCTCTCAGCCACGTGCAGCGTTTGTCTCTGGTGCACAAGGAAAGCAGCCCTAGGATGTGAGCTTTGAGTAGCTTGGAGGAGAAAACCTTCGCCTCAGGTACTTCAGGACGTAGAGGGGCAGACAGCTCACCAGAGTGATGACAGTGACTTTCCACAAGAACGACAAAGTGGCAATGAAGTAAACATCTGTAAAAAGAGAAAAACTCAGAGTCAACAAAAGAGAAACACGTTCAGGGAAGAGGCACAGAAAGGCAGTGCAATCTGACAGTTCTTCTCAAGCAGCCCCACCTTCCCCCACACACAGAATTTCGAAGCTCACACGATCCCTGGCACCTCACTTTTCTGCCTCTTTCACAAATGCCTGACCCAATCCTGTGGGATTCCAGCAGGGCATGAAACTCATTGCAGGCAAATGCACGTGCATACCCCATCTAAAGCAGGGCTATCCATCCCCTGGAAATACTGAACTCTCCTTAAATGGGCTACTCGTATGCTGACTCTGAGAATTGGGCTCTGCTACTTGGCTGGTAGTCCAAACAAACGCATCTCTCAACTCAGTCAGATCTCAGAGGCACTACAAAAATAGCTACAGCATTGTTCAAGATAGAGCTAGTGTACCCATCTGTAAACGACACAGATCTGGCCCATGAGGAAATTACCCTCATGGCCTTCAGTGTAGGCAAAGAGCTTTATGGAAGAAGTAGTGACATCTTGTGGATCCCTGAACAAACACTGGAACAAAGCCTACAGACCTGATTTGTAACTAGATAACTACTGGGGGACCTGGAATTCCTCACCTTTTTCCCTTTAGCCTGGAGTCTAAATGGATCAACTCCCTTCCAGGCAAGTTTAAAAAAAAAAAAGATTACAAAAAGAGAAGGGCCTATGAGGAAGCGGATAAAGTTGGGTAAGCTTTAGGAGGCAGTTACTTCATCTAGCTAAAGGCGAAATGCTTCAAAGCAAGAGGAGAGGATCAAATTTGCAGTCTCAAGTCCACTTCACACATGGAAATAAAAGATCACTATTCCATATGACAGCTGATACATGGTGAAGCTCTGAAAGCAAGGATGAGGTTCACTGAGCAGCACACAGCCTACTGACTAACTTTTCTCCTCTCTAGCACTTCGCTGTGAGAAGGAACCATAAAACATCCTCCAAATCAAAAAGTGTTTATTTTGGACAGAAGCATCACCATTATAATCAGGTTGACATCATCAACAGCCTTTTAAATCCAACTAATGTCCTCACAACCCAGTCAACTATTCAGGTCATAAAGCAACTGGATGGAGAAAAGGTATTTAACCTTACCGATAAATTCATGTAAGAAGACCAGAGAAGCTATGTAGCAGGAAAGACTAAGCAACTCAGCCACTATCATGAGCCAGTGCCACGTCTGGATCGTCAGTGCCACCATCAGCAACTCTGTGAGAATCAACGACGTGAAGGAAATGGCGACAATGTGAACAAATTCAGACTCAAAGAGGAGGAGCGCTCCGTACATGATGATGCTACCTGCAGGAGAGTAGACCAATTGAGTATTTTACCCTAACACCAGTCAAAACTCTAGAAACCTACTGCTAAGTCTTGGAGAGACTGAAACACAGCTGTGTCTTGAGACAGTCATTACATTCCACAGGTTTCATGAAAAACAAGGAATCCGTTACTATTTAGGAGACAACTGATAAGAAGACAGGGAAAAAAGTTACTGCACAGATGCCCAGATTGTTATATTAGACTATCATATTCACAGACATGTGGAAATTGGAAGTGAACGCTCAGTATTTTGGCAGCTGGTAACTTCTATAATCATGGAAATCCATCCTCCCAGAAAAGCAGCTGGTCACTACTCAGAAGCTGAAGGATATCAAATATTCCTAAGACCCACAGCCTCAGTGCTCAGATGGAAGCAAAGCGCACACGAGTCAGCTTCTCTTTGCCTTCTTCAGCCAAGTTCTCCCCTCCTCTACACTTCTCCCTAATAGAAGGGCACACTAAAGCACGATTAACGATGCATTGTTTCATGCTCCTATTCTGGCTTTAGCTGGAGAATGTTCACTACGCCCTGCACAGCCACCTGCACAAATAACTCATGTTAACAGCATGAGTAATCTGCACCAACATCCATCACACTAGGCTCCTTTCGGAAGGAAAACCTGCAGTGACCAGAGCTCGAGCCACGAAGTTCAAATCCAGCTGTGAACTTTCCAAAATTTCGGGCTGCTCAAGTTTTTAGTCAGTCTCATCTCTGCTAGCAACTAGTTCAATTGTTTTCTAGATATTTAGCACAGCAGAAGTGAAGTCAATTTTGCCAAATACCATAGCAAGACAGTGGTTTTAGCTCAAGGAGAAATCTTTCCCTCACTTCATCACCCTCTGGCCTTAGCTCCCCACCACTTGTGAGTTTTCTGTAAATGCTGTGGCCTCGCCATCGTATTTATCCAGCAGAGAAGGCGCTACCCTGTCACGGGGTGCTGCTGTATTAGATTTCAGAAGATAAGGTTAACAGAGCTTTTGTGTTCTTGGTTTCACTCCCTACAGAGGATGGTAACATCATTTAAATCAGTAAGAACTAGCTGCTAACTTTGGCACGGTTATGCTGACTCTTGTTGATAAAGGAGTGTTGGAAAACAAGACATTTTGTCACGGGATCACGTTGCCATTTGAGCTTTATGGCTCAACACTATGCACGTGCTTCCCTTCATTCCCTGCTTAACAGTTAAGGAAAGTATCTGAGCTGGAGGTTACTTGATTTTTAAAAAGGCAGTTTGAAAGAAAAGGCCTTCCTAGACATATTCCCCAATCACCACACCACTTTAGGAAAACGGATGTGTTGTTTTTAGGGCATGTGCTTAACTCTTAGCAGCTTAATTAGACCATATGCGATACGATCAAGTCATTGAGCTCTACTCCAGCCCTTAATTACAGATGGCTACAGAGGAACCAGAACCATGGCTGCTACTAACAGACAGGCTTTAGACAAAATATGCAAACATACAGATTCTGTGTTTTGTATACTGACTAAACAGCAAAACACATAGGATTGGGAACTTGTTTGAAAACAAGGGACAAGTCACAAGCTCCTCCTTACAGATGGTGCAACTATAGCAGCAAAGGGAACCTGCACAAAATCACAAGGGAAGTAAAGCACAGTGCTTTGAACTTCTAACATCACACAGTGTACAACAATGTTGATCAGTTGCTGCTAATATCTTTAGATATTTTTATCTTTAGATAATTTCTTGCTTTGGTAGCACTGCCAAAATTTTATAAGACAAAAATATTTATTTATTTATTCGCCATACTAAGGATGCATTGTTAAATTCACTTAACTTTTCACAATACCAACAGATATTCATTAGAACTTGCAGAAGTACAAGCAGAAGTTGATTTCTTACCTTGATAGATGCTTATTAAGACCCATATCAAAAATGTTTTGTATGACAATGGTCGTCCCTAAGAGGGGGAAAGAGAAAAAGAAAAGCTGTGTTGGGGATTTTCTGCTATGAACATTCCCTTATAGATCAATCTACCAATTAATAAAAGAGAATTATGAGTGATTTGGAGAGAAAACAAACCAGACCAACCAACCCTGAGGTACTGTCCTTCTGTTCTCATTTTTCATGATGCACGAAGGAGGCCTGGGACCATGGATGCTCACTGCTTGCACAGATCAGTACAATCTCTTCCTCACTGCACACACAATTAATTTAGTGCAAAGACGTCTCCTGAGTCCAGTCATTGCACTGGGAAATATAAGATGTGTGCATCCACAAATGTGTAGATATTAATATCGTACTTCTATACACACAAATCACATCATATTGAAGGCAGATAGGTTTTTAAAAAACCTTCTCCAGCCAACATAGCTATACCAGTACAAAAACCCCCTATGTTTAGACCAGGCCTAAGGATGGTTGGAGAATTAGTGGTTTATGACATCAGAGACAACATACAAGTGAAACCAGATGGAGACTTATTCAGGCTGCTGGAAAAACAGGCTTTGTTTTTAAGAGTATCTGTTTAACAGAAATCCTTGAGGGAAACGATCTGCTGAAGACTCAGTCCATCCTTTCCTTCAGTTAAGAAAGATGTTCCCAGTCCGCATACCCAGCTATTCCAAAAATTTTCCAGAAAAGAAAAAAAAAGAACCAAGGACAAGATTTACCTTTCTGATATATCTATGGTATCAGATAAATCTTCTTTTGTCTAAGGAGGAGGACCTTTCATGCTCAAGCAACAACAAAACACACAGCAACCAAACTTCTAGGTCCCTTTACATGGCCCTGAAGGCAAATTCCAGGAAAATGCATTCTAATCTCCTCCCTTCTCCAAATTAGATCCTGTGCTCCCACTCACTATCCATGTTTCTGGCTTCAGGAGAGTGCAGATTCCATGGCAATTTCTCCTCCCCCTTATTTTGAAAAAAATCAGTAATGTTATATACTTGAAATTTCCCACAGAATGCAACTATTATTTCCCATCAGTTTTCAATAAGCCATATTTCATGTACCATTCAATAGCAAACTGTACAGAAATCTGGCTGTATCTGTTAATTCAAACTTCCCTTTAAAACAACTTTGCTTGAAAATGCACATGTCCAGTGATGAGTTCCATATCTACTGATAATAACTTGATTTAAAACATTTAGAGAGTTTCCAATCAAAGTCCGGTTTTGCCCTAAGCCAAAACAAACAAAAATTTCTCGTACCTTAAGAAGATCTTTGTAGAGTTCTGGGTACAGCATTGCAACTTCAGACTTAACATCCTTGTCCAGGACCAGGGAAAACACGGGAAACATGGTGTAAATTGTGGAGTACCTGAGAAGAAGGTAGAAGACTGATAAATTATTTAAACTCCAGACAAACAAACAGAAATGCTAACGTTGGGAATGGCAATGCAGTATCCAAGTAGTAATGGATGTTCTACAAAACTTGCAAATGGAGCAAGTGAGTTCTGCACGTAGGGAAAACTTGTAGGACTTGGTTTTTGAATAGCTTGTGATTAGAAACATTCCTAGGCAGATGATTGATTCAAGTACAGCAAATGATGTTAGATTTATTACCAAAGCCAAGGACAGACCTGTCTCCACCCTAAACTCCACTCTACAGTTTATGCTGGGTTCTGCTTGTACCGCAACAGAGCGGGGATGAACGTGCTGGTTTGGGTTGCTTTGGTTTTGTTTTAAATCATGTACATTATAGCCTATAAAGTAATGGGACTGCAGGTGCAATAGCAGTGTATTTCACTGGTATCCCTCAGCTTACTGCAGCAACCAGTTCCACCTGCTGAAGGCTCTGAGCAGGCCCCCAGCTGGCACTGCTTTGTGCTGGCTCTCCTTGCTGCACAGCTCCAGCCCACAGTGACCACCTCTGTTTTTCACCAGGAGCTCCTCCTGGAACAAGGACTGCTGTTACTGTCTGACCTTCTGAACGTGACTCTCCTTCTGAAAAGGCTTCTAGAAGTGTCTGCGCTGTGTTGGTGTCTTTGCGGTACTGTGAGATATGCACACCTTGCATATTAATTCACCCAGATCCATCACTATGCACGTGCTTTCCACACTATTAATAAAATGTGAGCTCTCACCCAATGATGAGAAAGCCTTGGTAGAGGGGGACTGAAGCAAAGTAAAATACTGATGAAAAAACAGCCTAGAAAAAGAAAAAGAAATAAGCTTTTCAGGCATTCAATACTGCACTTCATGTAACAGCTTAAAAATACACTCTGTTCAAACTGAAAAGTACTTGGAGCAGCTCTCCAAATTCCTGAGACAAAGAAGAATGTAACATCAACCCTTTCTATTCCCACAAACCTTGGATGAAATCTATGTTTAATAGCAAACACTGGAGAACTGGACTTGGAAAACATTTTGTGATGCAGTTCCAGAGAAGAGAACACGAAGAGTTTTCTCCAGAGCCCACTGCTCTGATCAAAGCTGTTCTGATGCCATAAAGGACAGGTGTGCACTTCCTCGTGCCTCTCTCCCTGATGAAGCCTTTACAATGTAAAAAGAATTAACGCTCACTCATACAAGCTACAAACTCCAATGAGTTGAAGATTGATTTTTGTCAGTTAAGGAAATCATAGGTTTGTTTTCTGATTTTTTTAAATTTTTTAATTAATTTATTTTTTTAAAGTTTTGGATACATTTCTGCTGCTGAAGCAGCTTCATTGTCCTCTTGAGTTTCAGTCTCATTTCCACTTATCCCTCTCCAACATGTTTATTCTAAAAAGATGGGAGGGAAGAATGAGCTTTCTCAAAAAGCTCAAGTATTTTATAAAACGTTTCAGTACTCTTGAGGAATGTGTTCGTGTTACACAGCACAGGGATACACATCCAGAGAGCAGCCTCCATCTAACTGTAACTTAGGCCAGACCCCGCCAGCCAGTGCTTACCTTTGGTCCCACTGTTTGAAGACCTGACCTAAAACACACCTGGAAATCAGTGCACTTACTCAGTAGAGGCCTTAAGAGAACTGCCCTCCCTTAGATCCTCAGCATTCACAGCATTACCAAACAACCACGCCACACTGCAGCACAGCAGCGTTTCCTAAGGCAAAGCATTGTTTGTCCAGTTTTGGAAAACTTACTGATGTTTGTCCAACAAGATCTTGTGTGCTTTCATAACAAAGTAACAGCCTCCAACCCATGAAAATTTTCATAAGAAATAGTGGCACTCAAACTGAAATGAAGAACCTTTGCTTTTTGACTTTTTTTGGACACCTCTTCAAGGGAAAAGCCCACACGACATCACCTCACCTGCATTGTGCTGATGCACAAGCTCCTGTGGATTACAAACTGACTGAGGGCTGCCGAGCGTTTGTAGCTGTTCCGTCCGTGCACCATCAGTAAACGACCCAGATGTTTGAACTGAGTGATAGAGAAATCTGCCGCGAGCGACGCTTGTTTGCCTTCCTGCACACAACAGCAAGCAGAGCACGGTCAGATCATTTCTTTATTGGAAACAAAGAAATATATTACCCCTATTAAGTTATCATGACAGAATTTTCCATGAAAATGTGCAATACGTTAGGTGGGGAAGAGCATTACCTCAGCATTTCTGCCTTCCACCACAGCCTTTAAGCAAAGAGCGAAAGCATGACAAGAATTCCCATTTGAACCCTGGCCTCCAACTCTACGCAACCCTCTGGATTACGATTCACAACACGCACGTTCGCACGATGCTCATTTTGTACCACGTCGGTTCTGAACACAAACGCTCGCTCTCAGCAGCTCTCCCAATGCTAGCGTTCCAGCATGCTGCAGGCAGGCTTTATATCACCACCAAACCCAGTCCTTTCACCTGGAACCACGCCACACGCAGGAACTAGAGCTCTAACCTGGAGCTTTCTAAAGTAATACAATCCATGTTAATTGCACCCGTAGAGTGCATGCTATTAAAGCAATCATAACCCCAGCATGCAGAGCACCTACATGTGATTAAACATCCCAAAATTAACGTGGTGGTCCAAGCTTAAGGAATCTCCCAGTAATCAAATAGGAAACTTCAACTCTGCTAAAACTGCTTGTGACTTCATTACGGGTTGACTGATTATTCTTGTGGAAGCTTCTCACTTTCCTGCACAGGTTTCTGAGGATTCATTTAAGAGCTGCTTGCTAACAAGTTTCTGAATTGCTGCAGGAAGTCTTATTAAGCAGAAGGAAATCTCACCTTTCCTTCAACTCCGACTCCACAGTCAGCCTCCTGAATCATGCTCACATCATTCCCTCCGTCACCTGCAGGTCACAGCATGGATTAATTGGTAGTTTAGCTACAAAGATGACTTTCAGCCTTATCAAAGGTGCCCGGACCAGGCTGTAATACAGAAGAAATACTGAACTCTGTTAACAAAAACAGGATTTAAAATTAGCACTTGGGAATTTTAATTCTTTCAGAAGGTTGTCATTTGTTTTTTTACAGACCCATGTGAATTGGAGGTCAGTGATGAGTTAACCTGCCTGGTTACAACTTTACCTGCGATGCTGACATAAAGCTCACATTAACAATAACACTGTATCTGATGAAGCTCAAACTGTGTTGTGCAAAGGTAACACCCCAAACATCTGTGCATCTCCAGATGCAAATCTGCATCTTACCCCCCCCCACACACAAAAAGTTCCTTATCTCAGCATTTCCAGCATTTTGCTACAGGGACATGGTCACTCATCCCTGGTGAGAGTAAAAGATCTCTTACTGCATGGTACACAGCTAAAACACTCTTCTTTCTGACTTCAACCTCTGTCTGTTGTAGCATGAAGCTGTCAGAAGTCAGACTTCGAGAAACCCAACAGTTTTCATGGAAGTCCAACCTGCTTAAAACACTTTTCAGCCTTTCCATACCAGCCACAGCTACAGATGCCCTTACAGACACTAAACCACAAACTCCTCGCCTAACAGGTGAACAGGAGGACACTAGAAGGAAGACAAAACTGTTTTCCAGGTTCCTCTCAAGCGCTTACCTACGGCACAGGTGAGCTTGCCAGTCCTTTCCTGCAGCAAACGCACGATCTGGGCTTTCTGCGTTGGAGCACACCTGCAGCACACGACGGCAGGGCACTGGCAAGCCAGCTCCATGAACTCATACTCGTAGTATTTCAGACACACCTGATTGACAGAGATCAGAAGCATCACTGACGTTTGTTCCACAAACGCTCCTTTCCAGACGTGAAGCACAGGCTGCTGCTGGGGCAGCGTCAGCCCTACCTCCAGGGAGTCACCAGAAATGACCAGCGCGCAGTCGTGCTTCCGGCGGAAGGCGTTCAGCTCCAGGTGGGCCTCGCCACGATTTGTCACCTGCAGGGAAACAGGGAGGGCTGCTCTGCTGGGCTGAAAGCAATGGGACAAACAAGTGCAAAGGGAGCAAAAGCATCCAGACAGGCAGCACGCTGATAAGCGAGAAGGGAGAGAATGCTGGGTTGAAAGAAGACAAATAATCTAAGTCTACTGCTGGAACAGTGCTGTGGTCTCAGCCTGGAGAAAAGAAGGCTACAGGGTGACCTCATTGCAGCATTTCAGTACCTAAAGGGAGCCTACAAACAGGAGGGGAATCAACTCTTTGAAAGGGTTGATAACTGCAGGACGAGGGGAAACGGTTTTAAGTTGAGGGAGGGGAGATTTAGGTTGGATGTCAGGGGGAAGTTCTTTACAGAGAGAGCGGTGAGGTGCTGGAACAGCTGCCCAGAGAGGCTGTGGATGCCCGGTCCATCCCTGGAGGTGTTCAAGGCCAGGTTGGATGGGGCCCTGGGCAGCCTGGTCTAGCATTAAATGGCAGGTTGGTGGCCCTGCATGTGGCAGGGGGTTGGAGATTCGTGATCCTTGAGGTCCCTTCCAACCCTGGAAATTCTGTGTGATTCTGTGATCTCAGCATCCCTCCTGTCCCAGAATCTGGTGTCCTGAACAGGTCCTGAGAGGGGCACGTGGGTGTTACTCACTAGTCTGAATATATGGATGTCCTGTGTGCGCGTCACCAAATGCGCGTTCTTCGCCGTACATGTGGCTGTCTCCAGCTTATCCCCCGTCAGCATCCACACCTGAAATCCAAGCATTCTCTGTGTTAAGCACAGAACTTCAGAGCCACGTCTCCAGGACATCCAGATGAAAGGACTCTTCGGATACACATACATGCATTTTCTTTCTAAAAAGAAGCCCTATTTTAATATGCACAAGAAAATTCTCACCAATTAAAATGAAGATTTTTAGAGGCCAAAAGGCAAAAGAGGTTACCAGCTATACATAACATTTCTCCACTTGCAGTTTTTCCAGATTCTGCTGATATAACCCCCAAAATGCAATCTAAGGAACACGAACACATGTATTAACATGTCCCACCCCAGCCATTTCTTCTGTGCTGAAATAAGCAGGCCTTTCTGCAGAAATATCCCTCACGGCCCTGCCTGCAATGTGGATGATGCAACTGGGGTTAGCTCACTGCTGATGTGTGCATCTGGAACAGACTGAGTTGGTTTTGTGTTAAGGTTTTTTTGTCGCTGTATTTTTTTTTTTAATATTTTTTTATTTTGCATATACATAAATATGCACACACTGCTCCTTTTATTTTGTGCTGGCAAGGGGGGGATATTAGAAAGCAACGCCAGCAGCCATACTCAGCAGCAATGCTCTGCTACAATCTGGCAGAGAATTCCTTCCATACTGCAAATATGTTAAGTTTGCTGGTTGTTTTTCCTTTGGGTTTTGTTGTCTTTTTTACTGCATGGCTGTTTTTACACTTTCAAGGTGAAACCCAGGAATATTTAAACCTTAAAAAAAAAAAAAGAAAAAAAAGAAAGAAAGAAAGAAAAGAAGAAAAGAAGAAAACATGCACAAAGACTCACTTATTTGTTTAATGATCTTAATTTGGACAATGATTTGATCTCAGCAGAAGGGTCCCGAGATGAATGATCAAACTGCCTCCAGCTGTGATTTACCTGCTGTGTGCCCTGTGCTAACGAACCCCCAGCAGCCGGGGGCACCGCAGGGTGCGACCCACACACAGCTCCCACCTGGAGGCACACAGCACTCTGAGCAGCTCGGCTTTCTGCTGCATGCCCAGCAAGTGGCTCCAGGTCCTCCTGCTTATGGGGACGGCTCCAAACTGAAAGCACTTCTGGAAGTTGTTCCTAAGCCAGGAATTCCACTTCCAAACTAAATCCCAACACAGCCCTGCTGCTGGATTTACAGTACAGCTCAAGACTTTGCTCACTTTGGTACTGAAAAGTAGAGAAGCCACAAACAGAACCTTTTACCTACTTTTCTTGTTCAAATCTGAATGGTTAGTCCATCTTTTTCCCCTTTAGCGAGCCTGGGATCTGAACAAGTTCCCAGAGAGGAAAACTAAACCTGGAATCCTTCACCAGCGGGCACAGCTGGAGTTGTTAGTGCCCGCATCAGATGCAGGAGCCTAAAAACCTCGACGTGTTTCCAGCCCCTCATTCTCTTGGCTCAGGCTCCCTCCAGTGGCTGCTGTGCAGCACTGACACGCACTCCCCAGCAGAGCCCCCAGCAGCAGCCCCCACTTCCAGCATGTTCTGTGCCTAACGTTGTGCACAAACACATCAACACTCATTGGTCTGGCTCACAGAGAGCACCCACTCAAAAATTTACTCCAGCACAGCCCCAAAGCGTTCCCATTTTCCACCTGCAGGACAGCAGACTAAGAGGGGCCAGGTGCTCCTGCCAGGGGTGGGTTAGGCAGACCTTAATGCCAGCATTTCTCAGCGTCTCCAGAGTGGGCCGGACGTCTGCCTGCAGCTGGTCCTCCACACCGGTGAGACACAGCAGCTCCATCTCCATCTCCAGGCTCTCGATGACCGTGGCCACCTTCAGCGAGCGGTCGTGCACACTGAGCTTTGCCTGGACGTACCGTGCCTGAGGACAGAGCAGACGTAGCCACAAACATCTCGCTCCAATTTCTGTGCAATACAGGGCTAGGCAGCACGACCCCCAAAGCTACCTGTTAGCTGTCATTCAGAGACACCTCCTGTAACGGCCCATTAGCACAAGGTGCTGCTACAGAATGGGCTGGAATTGTTTCAGGTAGTCTGTCTGTGTCCTTCTGTCCTGGCACACGTAGAAAAGCCTGGGAATGACCCCCCAGCACCTCAGGGCCCAGCCGCGGTTTGGTGACTGACAGAGAATCCAAAGTCTTTCTACCACCCCATCTCTGTGTTTGGCCACAGTCCTCCCTCATATCTTGTCGGCCCATAGGAGCCCACCTAACAATTCCCATGCACAAAGCCTGGCTGTGCTGGATGTGGGATGTCTGTAGCTTCCCCCAGTTTCAAAATGCAACAGTGCAAATTAAAAGCCAATACACTGCCCCAGGCAAACACTATTTGCCTAACAAATAATGGATATTTGCAGAACATGTGACAGCAGAGGATTATAAAGCAGGAACCGGGAACTGTTTTGGAGACTCCTGGATGGGATCCAGTTTCCTACATATCACTTTTTAAAGTCAATTTAATTAAAAGAACAGCAAGACACTGAAAAATGGCAATTTTAGCAGAAGGATTAAGGAGATGAGAGGCGGCATTATCATGACAGGTCTGTGAGAGTCATTTCTGCAATTATTTGTTTAAAAAAAGAAACAAAAAACAAGAAACTTACTTCAAAGTCTTGATACTGCTCTTCAGTGAGAGACTTCTTGGCTACAACAAGAACCCTCAGGCCTTCCCTAGCCATGTTACCACACTGGAAAGAAGAATCACATTGTAAACCATAAACTGCATCTCAAGTAAGATGATTTATGCACGGCGTTTCAGAGACTGCAATGCAAGATAGCAGGTTAAGAAAATAACTGTCCCATTTGAGCAACCCCAGCGAGTCTATAACATCTGATAAAGTGCATGATAAACTCAAAAGGAAAAAAAGGAGATCTGCAATGGTTTGCAATCTATCCCAGTGATCAGAAACAAAACTGTCCCCTCTGCCATATCACTGCGGCAAAAACAGCCCCACTGATTTCGTCTGCTCTGCCTCTAAGAACACAAAGCTTTGATTTGATGACTTGGAATCTATGGCCATAAACTCAATAAAATAAGGCCAACACATTATTTCTATGAACGTCGAGGTGTGGGGCTGGAGAGAACCAGTAACCAAAGCCACAGCTACAAACTGTGTGTCAACATGACTGCACATCTGATGCATGTATCCCAGCACAAAGTTGCAAAATGGAGTTTTGAAACTAGACTTTTCAGTCTGAAATAAATCCGGACACAGAATCAAGTTCATGACAAACGTGGTGACCTTGAATGGCCGTAAGTTTTGAGTAACATCCATTTTATTTGTGGAAATTACTCTGTACTAAGTATGTTGAACTTGCCACCCGATTTCCCTGTTACTGCATATATGTTTGGCCAAAGACAAACCCATTGAATTGCCAGCATGCATAATCTTTTGGCCTGAAGGTATTTTAGTACTTGTCTCCTTTGTGGCAGAATGACAACAGAAGCTTTGTCAGGCGTTGCCCTGGTAGGAGAAAAGCACTTACACAAGGAACCCGCGTACTAAGAGAGGCTGCCCCATACCTCCTCTTCCAGCCAGTCGTTGTACTGCACGATCCCAGCCATCACCACGTCTGCTCCCTTCATGTAGAAGGTGATCTCTCCCGTTGACTCATCCTGAAGAAGCAGAAGAGTCAATGCTGGGGCAATATTAGCGCACTTAGCCAATATTAGCTAGGTAAGCAAGGAGTTTTCCACCAAATCACAGAACCTCAGGGGTTGGAAGGGATCTCAAGAAATCATCGAGTCCAGCTCTCCTACTAAAGCAGTTCCCTACAATGGGTCGCACAGGTGGGGTCCAGATGGGTCTTGAATCTCTCTCCATAGGAGACTCCACCTGCTCTATGGGCAGCCTGCGCCAGTGCTCCATCACCTTACGGTAAAGCAGCTCTTCCACATATTGGTATGGAACTCCCTGCATTCAAGTTTTAGTTTTTTCAAGTTTTTTCCTACAATCAAGCCACTGATCCTTGTCCTATCATTATGTACAACCAAGAAGAGCCTGGCCTCATCCATTTGCCTCCCACTTCCCTTCAGATATTTATAAACATTTAACAGATTCCCCTCAGTCTTTTCTCCAGGCTAAACAGACTCAGGTTTCTCAGCCCTCAACCACAAGGGAGATGCTCAAGGCCCTTCACCATCTTTGCAGCTCTCCACTGGACTCCTTCTAGGAGATCTGTCTTTTTGGAACTGGGGAGCCCAGAACCAGACACAACATTCCAAATGTGGCCTCAGCAGAGCAGAGCAGAGGGGGAGGATCACCTCCCTCGACCTGCTGGCCACACTCTTTTTAATGCACTTTAGAATAGCATTGGTCTTCTTGGCCACAAGGGCACCCTGCTGGCTCACGGCCAGCTTGTTGTCCACCAGAAAATCCAGGTCCTTTCTCCACAGAGCTCAACACAACAGTCACAAAAGTATCTTCAGCACTGGGTCAGGCTGAAAGTCCCTGTGGCCCAGCACCTTGTCTTGGGGCCAGAGGAGATGCTGCTCAATTGGAATTCAAGCACTTGCAGCAGGAATTCAGACAAGTGTGATCAGCTTCTTAATCAGCAACATGTGATCCTGACTGTGTGTGCCTTCAGAACAACCTCTGCCCCTCACCCTGAAAACCTGCTTCATACTTATGGAAACAATAAAACAGATGCACAAAGCTTAACAGACTGAAAGTCACTCTAATCTGCCCCTGTTACATTATACAGCATAGGCATAATTAAAGTTTATGCTTGCTGCAGAAAGGTTAGATTGCTGCCTGCCTTATCTGATACAAGTAATTTGCAGGCTGCAAGCAAAGCGTATTTACATTACCACAAATTAAAAGATCCCTTCTAACCAGGCAGACACCTAAGGAGGTCACAGCTATCAGTACTACAAGCTAATGGAAACTCTGGCAATTTCCTCAAAGGAGACAAAACAATGAGTAAGGAACAAACCGCTCCATCAACCAAGATAGCCACCAGGGATAGGAGGAAAATAAACTTCACACAAGAAAAGAAAAAGCCCAGGAAGGTCTGGAAATACACAGCCATGAACAAAGGAGGAGAAATTTAAAAAAAAAAAAAAAAAGCACAATAAATGCTGTTTCATTTTTGCACTACATAATATGGGTATCAGTTTGTTCTGCTGTTACTGAAACTGGAGACGGCTCTCCCACACATAGTGCAAGTCAGCAGGTAAAAGCCTGATGTCCCATGGCACCAGGGAGACAGAGTTCACTTCCACAGCAAGAAAAAGCAGCACCTGATGCTGATACTAAAAATCCAAAGAGGAAATATAAGTGTCTTTGCTGGGAAAATCAAGTGGCCAAGGATCCTTTAGTGAGCATTTTAACCAAGCTCAAAGATCTTCACAAGTATGATTCTCACGATTAAGCTTCAGAATTCTTTCCAAAGCCCTGAAGCATTCAGCCTTCATGTACCAACAGCCACACATCCCACCTCCCCAAAGCAAAATGAGCCGCTACTAAAACCTCCTTGAGTAAAACACCCCATGCTTTTGTTAGAGGTAAAGGTAAGGGTGCATCTATTCAGTTATTTGATTTAGAAGTGTCTAACAACATCTCTGTAGGAAACTGCATAAGGACTCCACTTCCCGTGCTGCAGAACTGGCTAAGATAGTTGAGAGGTTTTGTCCAATATAAATACTGTATCAGCTATCTCCTTGCATTAGTCATTTCCTCTCGGCAAGTTCAGTAGGAGGTTACAGCGTTCTCATATTATGGTGAGATCGCACTATAAATCCACACAGAGATTTGCCAGTTACATTGTTTTGGAGAAGCATCTTTTTCCACCGTGGTCTGATTCTGGCCGCAGTTCAAAGGCTTCTCTCAATTCCAGATATGACAATAGCACTATCTTTGCTTTGCAACAAAGATCATTCCACACGGGTAAGGGGAAAAAAAGCAAAGAGAGAGAAGAATGGAAAAACTTGTGGTCAAACAAACAGGCCTCCTTACAAGAAGATAAGTAAGTAAATAGCACTGCACAGAGCGGCTGCTTTGTTAAAACAGGACTTCTTAGAACTGAAATAAGCAGCTAAAGAAATGACAGTTGATCACACATAACAAACAGATCTTGCAAAAATATCCCAAGCCAGGCAACATCTGCTGCTTGCTTTCACTATCAACTACTGCTTTATTTACCAAGAGCTGTGTTGGAGGAGATCTTTTTGTGAGGGCCAAAGAGGACAGGACCAGCAGGGGAGCTGCGGTCCCTGCGAGGATTCTGTGCCATTGCTCATTGCTGTGCATGTTTCACTCACTGAAATCCCAGACCCAGGTCGTGCAGGAAGCCTGGCAAGGCACTCACAGTGGCTGCTGCTGGCTGAAAAATGGCAGTTTCTATGAGCGGCAATAGCTGTACGGCTGAGCAGAAAATACCATCACCTGAATCCTACTTGGTGCAATTCTGAGTGCAGTTTTGCTCTGCAGCTGCTCTCTTCCCCCTCCCAGCACACTGCTTCTGTTGTCTCCTTGACACTTCACGCTACTTTCTCTTTTTTTTCCGGCCTTTAGACACGCAGCACAGCAGTAAAAGATCTACTGAAAGGTAACCAACCACCTTGCAAGCCGTGGATCCAAACCAATATTATGACTGCCCACACATGTAAACATGTACATTCAATAGTTTTATTTGTCAGTTACTGTTTAACTATTCCGAATGCAAACTGCTTTAAGACAGTATTTTGGAGCAAAGTAACACACAGGCAGTCAACACCTGCTCCTCAAATCCCAGTTCTGCATGGGGTGCATAGGGGGCTGCTGTACCAGCACGTAGTTCACCAGCTGCAAAATGAAGACATTTAACGAGCACAAAGGGTGGGCATGTTTGCTAACAGCACAAACCTGTCCTACAGACACGGGCTCTGGCCCTGCCATTGCTCCTGCTGACCAGCAGTGGGAGTTTTGCTGTTTTCTTCAGCAGTGCTACGTTAAATACAGCATCACACAGTAGGAAACCTTTTCTTCCTAAAATGAGAGGAATGTAGCTAACAGTTATTTCAAAAGGCATAAGCTTCAAATCACTGCTTTGTATCTTATTGTTTTACTACACGTTAAGGAGGGGGGGGGGAGGGGATAAAAGGGAACCTTTCTACTTAGACAAGAAAGAATTTCAGATCTTCCATTTCTCTGCTGAGCACACAAACAAAATCTAATGAAACATTCTCTGGTTCTGATGGATAGCCCACTTCTTACACCTCTGACACAACAACAAAAGTCTGTGCTTTATTACAAGCAATGGGGGAAAAGAGTATTTATAGCTCATCTTTTTCTTCTAGGACTTGAAAAGGCCACCTGAAGTCTCTGCATGGCTTTCACTGTAAGATACAATCCAGCTGAAGACTTGCTGCACTTGCTGCTCATGGCAGCTGCCCCATGCAGCACAGCACGTCTGTGTGTTCAAACACATTCAGCTGGAGCTGTACACTCAAACATTCAACACACTGCTTGCTTCCTATGAGCTCAGCTATCAGCCCATTTCAACACGCATTCCTGCCCCCGGGCAGGTTTTAATATTGCCAAGCCTGGAACAACTTGAAATATGTATTCGTGCCACCATACTGAGGCCTGATATCCAGCATTTAAATGACATTCTTTGAGTGGCAGGAGATCCCAGCCCAAAATACTCAGGTGACACAAAGCAAACACCCATTCACACGAGCTCTGGGAATTTCGGTCTGAACGGAACACAGATCGCCAACATGGCTCTGCAAAGGTTACTGTGTGCACATACTGCATCCATCCTAATCACAGAATCTCTCAGTAATAGGAAAATTGAAGTTCTCTGTGGTATTTATTGTTGTCATGTTGTGCAACACCGTGGTTGCATTCAACAACATCATCCCTTCATGGTGCAGATTCTGACAAGGGCTGAGCTCCTGAAGAGTTCAGGTCTGTGAAGCTAACAAATGCAAACAAACCACATAGATCTGCTGCAGAGGAGGCCCACATACAGATATTGGCCACAGCTGCCTGCAACAACACCAAAGGTGATTCTTGCTACTGCTGTACCTTCAACATGAGGCAGAAGATAATTTTACACCCTGTTCCCAGATACCCCGAAGTAAATAGGAAGCAATCCAGAAGGAGGCAAAAATCAGTCTTACCCATTCCCCACCTTTAATAACAAGGCTGCAGATCACGTGAAATGATACAGCAAATCATTTCTTGTCCTGGATTACAGGTTTACTACTCATACTTTAAATTCCTGATACCAATTATCCGTTGGTACTTTCAGTAAAAATAACAAGGATGTTTTAATTATCTGCAAAAAAAGATATTTAAATTGCCTCCTCTCATTTGCTTTGCAGGAAAATGGAAGTGGCTCACTTCAGCTGGGCTTGTTCATTTTCCTATCTAGCACCGTCTTGAAAATTAATGACAATAATGGCACCAATTCATTCCTAGTGTTTTTAAAACACCCACACTTTCTTCTTTCTTTCCAAGGTAATTAACTTCTAAGAGTCTTATCTCCTACTGTGTTTGCAGACAGAATCACAAAGGTACGTGCACCATTTCAGCTCAGCACACACTCAGCCTCCGCAGTGCCTGCCTGCTGATAAACTTACCCACTTGCACTGATGCGCCCTTTTGCCTTCACTCAGCTATTTTCAAACTCTGCTCACAATACACATTCTCAGCATGGTTTTGAGCTGCTAGCTCAGGAAAAAAAAACCCCTATCATATTCCCTGCAGCTACATCAAATGCCTCCTCTGGAGTCCTGCACTTCCATGGGACCCAGCAGAGGCATGGGCAGCACTTCCCCACCACCAGGAGCAACACGCTGATGTTGTTCACAGTGGCACCAATCCATGATCCCTCTGCTCCTCCCCAGTTGCTGTCTCCATCACCCTGTTACATGCAACATCTGTGAGTGTGGCACAGATGTGACAGAGCAGGACCTTTCGCAGAGGGACAAGGGTGGCCCAAGGATGCAGAGCGAATCTTCAGAGTCAACTGGAGCTCCCCCGAGGCTGGTGGGGCCTCATCCCCTGGGGAGAGCAGTCCTGCACTCATGAGCTCCTCTTCCTCCGCACAGGAGGGAACACTGAGTTCAAGTCCCAGGCAGGGGATGGCTGCATCTGCTTTGTTTGCTGGCAGTGCTGGCTTCTAGCTTTCTAAAAAGAGGCTTATTTGAGAAACAACATGGCACCTCTGCTTATCATCAGGACCGTCGAGTGTTGGTTCATTGCACAGCCAGCCAAAACATTCTGATTTTTGTTCCTTATTGCCCAACCAGTCCCTCCTATTTTTATGGCCATACCTGACCAAGGAGGAGGACACATCACCAAACTAACCCAGCTGTGAGATGCTGCTGGCTCCGAGCACAGGACCAGCTCGTAGCCTGAGGAGTCGCACCGCTCCTGAGAGCAAAAGCACTGCACCTCCCACAGTGCAACCACAGGACAGTCACACGGACAGAAGAGCGTTGCTAAAGCCACCTACCCGGACGATTATTCCCATGCGTTTGCTCTCGTAAGTGAAGGGGAAGATCTGGAGGATGGTGAAGTTCAGGATGTGGCCACCCGGGGTCCTCAGCTGCATGGAGGACTGGTCTCTGCCCACCAGCGTCAAGCCCACGCTCTCGGTCCACTGCACCAGGGCCACCTGAGAGGGAAGGCACAGCAGGCTGAAATCTAGCTCTGAAATTATGCTTTATGAATTAAAACCATTCCCGTTCATTGAGCCAGAAAGTGAGAAAAAGCTGCCTAGCTGGCACTTCTTAGCAGAGAAGCCCTTCCTTCCACACATCAATTTTTTCTTCTTACTTTTTCAGGATGGCAGCACAGCTGACATGAGCCCAAACATCAGCAGCCTTCAGAAAAGATCAAGGGACACTTCATCCAAACAAACACAAAATATTACAAGTATTTTACAGTGATATTTTCAAAGCTTGAGAGCGTTGGGCACAGAGCTGCTGCTGATTGAAGGTTAATTATTCCTTGGGCTTTTGGGGCTCTGATTTTACTTAATTACCCAAAATTTCTTAGGTGAAAATGGCACTTGCTGTGGGAAATCACTAGATACAGGTAAAAATTAAATCTATAAATACTTGCATCGACTCAAGATTTTACTAAGGAAGTTAATGCAGTTGGTCTAATTGGACAATCCTTTGTGTTCTCATCTCCTTTTCGTCTACTGTTAGGATTAAAAAGGACCTAAAATTTCTCTAGTCTTAAACAATCAGATGAAAAAACACAAGCTGATTTGGCTTTGTCCTTAAAGGCCTTCATGTCGTTTTGAATCGGTATTTGTTTTTTATGCTAGCGAGTTTTTGTAGGCTTATTCACAACGTTTACAACAAATCAAAGGATCTTCTGAGATTCTTTTTCATCTTTCCTTGAGACATCCTCAATGCGTTACAATGTGCAGCTGCATGATCCTTCTCACCACCTCCCAGAGCAGAAACTGAGCTCAGGTTTCTAATACTCTGGTTAATAAGCAATGACTGGGAATTTGTTGCAGCGTGATGTTACATGAGTACGCTCTCAGTGTACATGGCACTAAATGTTCATCAGACATTTGCAGCTCATCAGTGTGGGCAGAAGACATAAATCTCTGCTCCCCACTCAGGCTATTAAGGCAACTCCATTGCTACTTTCTTCCAGGTGCTCATTTCCTCCCTCCTGCCAGCATCTCATTCCAATGCTACATTAGGAAGCATTTGAACCTCCAGAAAGAAAAGTGATGGGAAGAGCAGCGTGGAATCCCTGCTACGCTGCGCACATCATACTTCTAACTAACTGCATTTCATCGTGCAGTGTTACTCATTTTGGACTGCCCTGGGACCACAAAAAGGTGTGACAACGAAGGGGAGGAATAATGAAGGTCGTGGTCCCTCCTCCTTGCTGCCGCGTTCTTCCAGCCCTCAGTAGCTCCCCAGGTGAAGCACAACCAACGGGAAGTGAGGCTGACCCCTTGTAACTCACCACCTCCCAGTCTGTGCACTGCTTTGTGAGTAACCTGAGAGGAAAAATGATACAGTTCTGAAGTGTTCCATCAGATCACTACAAGCATTGAAGTTACCATTCCCATTCACCACACAGCACGATGTGCTTGGCCCTGAACACCAGGGCACAACACCCACTAAACAGAACTGGCTGCTCTCCAGCAGGGCCAGGAACTTTATGCTTCCGGAGCAGCATAAAGGAGCTCTGCTCTGCCCTTAAACCAATAGCTGGTGGGGCTCCAAGTCACGGTGAAAAGATGAGAAACATCCAAGATATGCTGGCACCTTCTACCAAGATGGAAACCCCTCATGCACCTTCAGGAGAGCCCATGCTGACAGATGAGGAGAAATCAATAGGTTCCTGAGCACACTCCAGGAGTTTGCAGCTCTGTCCTGGCCAGGTCAGACGTGGGTCTGTGCACCACAGACCAGAGCAGCTACAGCAGCAGTGCACTACCCCCCCAGCTTTGCTCTTTCTGGTAATTAAATTATCTAAGCCACCAAAGTGAATATCGACTAATAGGCTTCATTCTAAAGAGACAAATTGATCCTTCTGCGCTATGAGTTTCCCTACAAACGTCCCATTTAGGGTTGCCTAGGCACACAGGCAACAGGCAGAAGCCCATTGATCAGAGCACCCTTTCATGTCTTGGCAGCTGCGGGTTGTCAGGGTTAAAGACTGTTTGCCCAGGAATCTCAGGCACTCTTATCTCTGATCAGATTATATCTATTTCATTTCCCCTGTTAGTTACTGTATGGCTACAACTGACACGCTTGCAGAGCCCCAAGGCTGTAACCGATATCTGAATAAAGATACTTCAAGACTTCTAAATGGCAGCGTGCACAGGAAACAAATTTAGGAAATCCTGCTTTCTGTTACAGGAAATGAATCCTATGCCAACTGGTAGAAATTACCCTCGCTGTTAAAGTAAAGAGAATACAAGTTTTTGTACTCATTTCATAAACTGACCTTCCCTGCCATGGTAATATTTTATTGATATAGGATTTCAAAGGCTGCCTTTAACCGGAGCCCGAAGTCATTCCCCTACAGGGAATGTTATTTAACAGCATCGCTCTCTTCTCAAGGACTTGACTTGTGCTGATCCTGCATTTTGTACCATCTAGAGTGACATGCACAGAGGATGTCTAAACAATATTTGTATATCTAAGACCCACAGAAAAGATTTCTTCAGTGCAACAAGGCGTATCTGATTTCCGAACGCACTGTAATTCTCTACTGAAGACATTTGGAGAAAGGAAAAATAGAAATTAAATACTAGAAGGATTAGTCATCATGCTATAGTAAAATAAACAAACAAACAATAATTCCTTTGGCATTTGAAACAAATTGCTGCATAAATATTTTAAAGACAGAATAATGCAATGAAAAAAAGAATCACTGACATATATATACCATATATATGTAAATAAACTGAGGATCTGTGAGAAAGCAGCCAGTGAATGCTTTAGGAAAAAGAAACAAAAAACCCTCAAATACAGAAATTACCATCTGGAAATCATTCAGATCTCATTTCAATCCAAAGGCAGTTGCTTTCTGTAAAGCTGCCTTCATGGGGGAGAGCAACACATTAGAGGAGAAAAGCAGGTAAGCAAAACAGACCTAGACTGGGGGTGTGATGATCTCACCAGGCCAGAGAGGGCCACACATTTGTTGTTATTACAGGCACTTCAATGGAACAGGAGAAAGCAAAGATGCAACTTTTGTATAATACAGACGAGATACACAACCTGAAATGAATGAACTGCCTGCTTGGGAAGAAAAAAAAATCAACAGGGAATATTTTGAATGGCACAAAGCGTGGAAGATCTGTGCCAACCCTTCAATAATACCTGCACACACATTCCAGAAAACTGGCAATTTGAGGACTTTAGCCAATACATTTATTTATTTGCAAACAAGTTCTCACCTCTAACAATGAGGAAAGCTAGTTTCCTTCTGATGCCAAAGAAGGAAAGCTTATTATCAGAGGCAAGTCTGTTTTACAATAAATGGAAGAATCCATCAAATGGCTGATCTCAGTAGGATTCTTATGGAAAGCGTAAAACTTTAGCTTTCCAAAATACAGAGCACGTGTAATTATGCAAACGAATAGAAAACTTTTTCTTTTTTTAAACTGTGAGCACATCAAAGAAGGTACATCCAAGAAGCACCAGGAGAAGGCTCAGCAACAAGCTGCAAAGTTTGCCTCTGCTGCAGCACCACGCGCAGCCCTGGCTGGACCAGGAGCTGGAGGAAGATGGCACAGCACAGCCCAAAGGCTCTGAACCTCTGGCAGACGTGGGTCATCCCGCAGTGCTGCCCCAAGTCTGTCTCACCCACACAGGAAGGGATGCCTCCTCAGACAGAAGGGCCACCAGCACAACTTCCACCTTTGTCAGAGGAACAGACTTTATTACCCACAAAACACACCCCGGACAAAACCCGAGTGTGGGAGCACAAGCTGGACTCTACAAACTGACCTCGTCGGGACTGGAGGCCTGGTACACCCTGCACGAGTCCTCGTAGTGCCTTTCAGCTTCGGCCTGGTCCGTCACCCCGTTGGATTCGTACACCGGCGTCACGTTGTGGCACAGCGCGATCGCCTTCACCGCCTCGTGCACGCGGCTGCTCATGGTCCTACGCACCTTGGTGGCCAAGGCCAGGCCTTTCACAGCGGGCGGCTCCTGGGATTGCTGAGAGGACAGGAGAACAGAGTGTCACTGCAGAGAAAACCATTCTGATGGAGACTTTACCTCAGTGAAAAGCACGTAACATGTAACCCGTGCAAACTCTTGTGTCCCTTGGGATGAAATGTGCCCGTCATGCACCGCGGTTCTGATCACCACTGGGAGCACTCCGCAACTCGTTTATCAGGGTCACTGATGGAGGAAGGTGTGCACAACAAAATCACCTATGCTTTTAGAAAACACGTGAGAAAAGGGCACACGGACACAGATCTGCCCAACACCAATGGGTGCCAGGCCAAGTCACAGGACTTGGTGAAACCACTGTGCCCCCAAAATACATCAGTGCCTCAGCCGAGTTCCACGTGCAACAGCACGTAGCTGCTGGAAACAGAAAACAGATGAGTGGTGTGGACCTAGAAATCTTAATTGCATGCATTCATTTAATTTTTCATACTATTTTTAGTATCAGAATGGGACTCATCAGATAATTGCACAATTACTAAATGATCCTGGTGGAAGAGGGGACACGCAGCAATCCAGTTTCCTGCTCTGTTAACCTTTAGTGTCAAGAGGACAAAAGCTTCGCTTCCAGGTCAAAGGCCACAACGTGGTAAAAATAAGAGCAAAGAATAAGGACTACATTTCCAAATGAATCGCTGCCTGCAAATGCTTCTCATTACAGGGGATCTCACTTCATAACCATAACTCTCAGTGAGACACGTCCTTCAGTACAACGCCAAGCGCTACCTTCCACACTGTAGTGATTGCAACACACACAATTTTCTGATTTACTACCACAGCTCATCAGCAGTGTTGCGACAGGCTTTAACCAAACCAAACACAATAAAGCCCTGAAGGTGCTGAAGGGCATTTGGACCAATGCAGCACTGTCCTCATAGCAGGACAGGCAGCCGTCAAAACATTCTTGACAAGCATTGAAAACGTTGGCAAATAATTAACTGATAGTCAAGTTCTCTCTGGAGATTGAGTATGAAATGACAGAAAATAAATCTGGAGTCTGGTTTATTTTTGTGGGTTTTGTTTTTTTAAATTTAAGTACAGTTCTGTTACTGTTTACTGAGTACTGATGGCTCCTCTTCCTTTATTAATTCCCCAGTATATAGCATTTCAAACAGCAACTTAATCCAGTAAACGTTACCTTGTGTTAATTTCCCAGTGAAGCAATGCTGTGGTTGCTGTAAGGTGGTGAATAACTAAATAAAAGTACACCATTTTACAATCTGAACTTGGGACATGCACTTGCAGGCCCATGCAAGTACTATGGCACTTGGAATCTGAAGACTAGTGGATGTGAAACAAGCTATGAGTGAATGTAAAACGCAATCAGGTTAATATTTATGTATTAAGTATCCAATCACCTTTTGATTTTTCCAAAAAATAACATGTAAGAGGCAGATCCCTGTCAGATTAATATATCATTAGCCTGGTAACCTGGAAAACTAATGTGAATAAAGAGTAAAGAAATCCAATTTAATTCTACCTGTGTGTATATACTGAATATGTGGCTCTGCACTTCATCCATGGAGTCAAGGCCGTACGCCACCGTGCCCAGATGAAGTCGCTTGAAGACCATCTCATTCTGTGTAAGAGTTCCTGTAACAGAAGCAGCATCAACATGCAATGGGGACCAACATCCCTATTCTGCAGGGCATGATCTTGTCCTTGCTGTATCCCAGATACAAGAGGAACTGGTCCAGAAGTTGGACTGATCACTGCACCAGGCTCTCAGCACAGGCTGAGGCTAAAGGTGACAATATTAGAAATCCCAGGGCAAATTCTCCTGGGAAGTTGTGGTGCACATCCCTGTATCAGTCAGAACGAGATTATTCACCCCAAAGTCAACGCCAGGAAGAGCTGCAGGCATAGCTCTGCTCCTACTGGAACCAAAACCAACTTCTGGGAACAACTGGAACAGGACCAGGATTTTATGTTGGACAAAGCTTTTGATTACAGCTTAGTCCTCAGAATCAGCCCAACTGTAAGAAGTGAGGACGGCAGTGGGCAGACTGATGGCATGTTTCTGCCCATGCACCTAGCCTACCTTCATCCAGCTGTAAAAGCTAACTCTAAAAGTGTTTTTTATGTTTACCTTCAACTTTGGATTTAATAGCACACTTCAAAAGCCAAACAACAACAACATACCACGACTCAAAGCTGTGTTTTCTACATAGATACCTGTTTTATCTGTAAGCAAGTAGGATATCCTCCCCAGCTGCTCAGGAATAGTGCTGGATCGAACCACGGTCCCAGGGATTTTGGAATCTCTGCGGATCACCCAGCTGTAGACAATTTTTCCCATGTCCAGGTTCACACGTAAACTATGGAGGAGCAAAGGGAGAAAAAGTGTATCTGAAGTAAAACTCTGGACAAAAATCACTATGAATTGCCACAGTGTAGTGAAAGCACAGGGCTTCTGTACTGCATTAGAACAGCCAAAGAATGTGGAGAGAAGTATGTCCAAAATGAGTGGTTGGGCAGCAGATGGGGAGAGCTGCACACTGCGCTGGTACTGTAATTCAAAAAGATATATGACAGAATTGCGTGGAGAAGAGCAGATGTAATTTGTGAGGATGATGAACGGAGACAAGTAAGGACTGTGATTGATAAGGGGACAGCAGGTTAGAAATGGAACCGAAATGAATCCCAGACCTATGCTGAAAATAACAATCTGCTTAGTAATATGGTGCAATTAACATTAAAATTTCAGTCCCTTTAAAGGCATTTGGGTCCTATGCTGTATAAATATCTCTCCTCTGCATTTTCCTCTGTTCTCATCAGAGTAACCAGGCAGCCCAAACACAGAGGCAGGGCCTTAAATCACGGACCTGCAGCCTACACCAGGGAGCTCAGCGGGCAGATGAAAACACTTAAACTTAGCAGGAACAACAAAGCAACTCCTATGTTCAAACAGCAATTCAATTTCTATTTCTAAATTTGTTAAGTTGTCAAACAAGGAATACATAAGACTTTATGTGTCCACATTAGAAGCAGGAAGGAGGATGCAAAGGAAGCAGTATCTTGCTGGGAAGAATTAGTAGTTGACTCACCTAATTGGAATGATGTTTGAGAACAGGAGGAGGAATCTGATGATCTGAAGATACCAACGGCCAGCAAAATGCTGAAGGGCCACCATGACAAGTGAGACCACCACCAGGGCCCCAAACAGGATCTTGGTGAGACAGTTCACTTCTAAATCAAAGAGACCAATCTAAAGAAATAGAATCAAGACATTTCAGTCACACCGTTGGAGTTGTCAGCTCAATTTAATATTCACAAAAGGGAGTCCCTTTATTCAAAGAGCCATTCCTCACCAGTCAACGTTTATTTTTCATTTAAAACACTACAAACGTATTTGAATTTATGAACAATATTGTTGCCATTACTAAATTACTAAATACTACATTAATACTAGATTACTAGATACTAAAACACTAGATTACTAAATAGGAGTCCCTACTAAATAGGATTTCCATCCTTTGGAGGCTGAGAAATGCATGAAGAGGTGAGAAAAGATTCATGCTGTCAAAGGCTGCAGACTGTACAAACACCCCCACTCCCTGTCTTGGCTTTGCTACAGCAGAACACAGCAAAATAAGCTTTCCTCTTCTACCTGGCACTGTTTAATTATAACCACGTAAGTCATCCGCATCAGTTATTAAGCATCAGCAGTGTTAAAAAAGCAAGCAGGTACACGTACAACAGGCTCTGATATGGTAACTATCTTAAACAGTAGGCTGAAAGATGTAAATCATTGTTCATCTGATCTGTCCCTAAAGTCTGTCTTTGGATGGACTTATTTCTTTGTTTAATGATAAATTACTGCCAAGTTTAGTTATTACAATACTGCTTTCTTGCCCTACCTTACTTCTTGGGTTTGAAGTATTCATCACACTGCGCAGTTCCCTTCCAGTGTAGAGGACAACTCCCACAACAGTACCTAAACAAAGTAGAATTTGCATCAGCCTCAGAAGTACAACCTCTGCTTGCCTTCTCTGAAAAATGCTTGCCAGATCCACAGCCTTCAGTTTTGAAACCGACTTTTAGCAGGTTAACCCCTAAAGCAATGGTAACAAGGACTAGAAAGGTGAGTTACCTGAAATGTAGAACCCATGCAAACACAGATGCTGAACAGAAGACAGCCTATTAGGAGTCAGCAAGTCTCCAACCACACTGCCCTCACGGCTGGACCTGCACATCATAAGCTGCTCCAGCTGAGGAGCATGCAGAGAGAAGCCGCGTGCTTTGCTGGCTTGTCTCTTCCTGACCCCCATCCCTTTTGGAGTTATTTGTCACTACTCACTATAAATAAATAAAAACAGAGGAGGAGGAAGGATTGTTTCTTCCCACCACCCCAAATCCCACTTAGGTGTGCTAAACGTGCCTTACTTCAACGTGAAATGGGTGCTCTGGGATAGGATTGCTCCTTCTTGGTGAATTTTGCCACAATCAGAGTAAAACCAACAAATTCCAAATGCTTTAAAGATAGAATTACCTTATTTTAAAATCTATGTCTTAGCTGAGTATTTCTTCAATTGCTGCTCCTCCTGAAAGGTGAATCATACCAACTCCCACCTTACTGCAACAGATGGAGCTGCTGGGAGCCCATGTATTTTAATGCTACGTCCTGCAGTTTCTAGAGATCTGAGAGAAGCATTTTTCTCCCTTCTCTTTTTGCAGAAATATAACACAGTTTGGTACTATAAATCGCTGTTTTTCTACAGCTTTTCTTAAAGACTTTGCAAAAAGTAGCTGCAGTCACGAGTTTAAAAGCTGCTACTGCTAACACTGGTTGCTACTAGAAAATTTTACAGGTCTATAAAAATGGATAAAAACACCACTGAGGGGAAAAAAAAAGTGCTGTTGCTGATACATTGCCATTTTATACACCACTATTCTGCTGCTGCCACTAATGACCAAAATTTTAACAATTGTGTTAACTTGAAAGTGTATCCTTTTTAAATAAGATTAACTCAAAAGAGGAGGTTACTAAAAATGCTGAGAAACATTCCTTTGGAGATAATAATAAAAAAAAATTAAAAAGCAGAGCAAATCACTGTAGCCAGATGGCAGGAGGGGTAAGATCACCACTATTACATCAGCAGATGGCACAGCTACTCCAAATCAACTGCAAACAGTCAGAGTCGGACCCTCCTACCACAGCAGCAGATGGAGAAAGTCACATAGCTCTGCTCCATCCTACAGACAAGGGCTGCCCCAGTGATGGCAGCACTATGGCTTCACAGCATAAGCTTACAGAAGAGGAAAAATGATATTCACATTTTCTTCTTGCAGAAATAAACTGCAACGTGCTATTTATTACTGCCATAGGAGAAACAAAAATGGATATTTCATCAGTCAAGTCTGTCAAAATGAGGGATAAAATCTACCAGGTCTGGAAAACAACTTGCAGACATGCTGGTGTGTGTAAATAGAATATTTGATTGTTTCATGGCTATCCAAAGCAGACTGTTGTACTCACCAGCTGAAATGACAAAAATATCTGCAAATGTTATTCTTTCTAGCTGAACCCTCAAAGATATCTGTACAAATAGCTTTGCTCTTACTCAGAAAGTAGGGTGGGTTTTGCCCCAAAGCAGGATGGACGGAAGCAGTGCATTACACAGCTGTTGGGTGTTGGAAGCTGCCTGGCCCCAGGCAAGGTGTTTGCAAGCAGAAAGCAGGAAGGCAGAAACCTTCTGCATAGCAATTACTAATCTATAACTACTATTTACTTGGCCAAACTATACGTGGATGACTAGGTTTTTAGCGTCCTTTGGTCACATCACTGCAGCAGTACTGTATTATTTCAAAGAAGATCCTGAGCAGGGTTAGATGGAAACATAAAGGAATAAAATCTATTCCTATGTTCTGCTTTTAAAAGGGAAAACGAAAATGAAAATCTTTTCAGCACTTCACAAAAATCTGTCAGAGTTCATGTTCCTTCCCATTACTACCAACCCCAGGCACACCGTGGCACCGCACTGCAAAGCCCCTCCTCTCAACAGCTTCAACTCCAGCACTGCTTACAGAGCTTCACCCTCCTCCAGTGGGTGCTGACCTGCAGTCCTGACAGGCACGCGAGGCAGGAGAGGAGCAAGGCTTTTACTTTGACAAGCCTCTGCAGGAGGGCACTGGTTAATTTAAGGCCTTCAAGCTTATCGTACACGTGCACTAAAATGTGTCAAAGATTGCATTTTTTTTCTTCTTTAAAACTCTGTAAGACGAACTCAGTGGAAGCAGTTACCTGGAAATCTTTCATCTTAGCTTCTGTTACCAGAATCTATTTGACACCATTTCTGTTACAGATTAGGATGTCAATACAAAGAGCAATTAAGTGCTATTCTGGTCCTAGATGCTAGAGAAGTGCCCAAAGGCCACTCCAATTCTTTCTCATCTAGGAATGTCCAAGAGGCAATTAGCTGCCAGTGCAGCTCCCCAGAGGTGTTGGGACAAGTGGGAAACCTCACTCCAACTGCTAATTTCTCCAACTGACAGAGATTATTATTCCATTACAAAAAGACCCTTAAAAATTGTTAACATATTCCCTTAAAAATAATTTGCACGTGCCTCCACCTTACCTGATGCAATCACTGTGCTGGCCCACAGGGTGTTTTCTATGCTTAAGCTTTCATTCACAGAAGGGTCACTGTCCTCCTGCAATGGGGGAAAATAAGAAACCGCGTCAGTAATTTAAAAGGCAGTAGGTTGTTGGAGTTACACACAGGTGCTTGGAGAGGGATGCTGTCAGCAGAGGGCTTCTAGGAGAGATGAGGATTTTCATTAACCAGCGAAATCTCTGCCTAGTTGAAAAGCAGCACTTGATTTCAGTAGAGAAAGTAGGGTTGGAAGAAAATGTATGAAGACAGGCTTCCTCCTGAAAGCCTCTATGCATTAAAAAAGAGAAAGGGATTAGTGAGAAGCTCACCAGGAACCCCTGCAAAAGGTTTTAACCCTACAGAGACTGCGGCGGTGCTGATTTCCTTCTGAGCACCATGCATACATAACCACCAACCTCAGTGCAAATGTTCAGACCTAATGCCATCAGGGGAAGTCCCGCATCACAAGCAGCCCAGGACACTGTTGCCAAGTCAGAGCTTCGAAAACAATATTCTTGTTTCAGATTTATCTCATGTATTTTATGTAGGGGGAAAAAAATAAGAAAAGAGAGTGAGAGAAAAGGCACAAGGAAGAGCATGACCTCACGTTGCTCCTGAAAGAAATCTGGCATCCTGCTGGTATTCAGCAGGCTGGCACAGAGGACAGTACATTCATTATTTCAAGCAGATGTAAGTAGGACTTACCCTTGTGAAGGTTCCCACAAAATTGTGTATATCAATGTTGGGCTCTTCTGCATATACATACGACCGGATTTGCAGCAGGTCCTAAAAACAGACGTGTTTGGGCAGGCATTTAGACAAGCACATTTTAATAATACACAAATGGTTCTAACAAAATACTTCAGGTTATTTAAAACATACTATTTTCTTGAGCCCAACTACCTAACAGAAGATACAACCATTATACCAGCATGACTGAAGGTATTTACCTGCTAGTATTCATTGGACTGAAACCAAAGAGACTCCTGGGAGTTACTTGGTTGTTAGTGCCCCATAAAAGCAAATGCAGCCTGAGAAAAAATCAAGAGAGCCTAACAAGCACATTGCTTCCCAGCAAAGAAGGTCTGGACCTTCCAAGGTAACCAAGGAACATCCTAACTCTCAATATTTAGCTGGAGATGCCAGTGGCACTGGGAGCAGTTCCATGGTGACAAGGAGATACGTCAGTTCTGAACAGTGCTGACTCCACGTGAACTATTCACTTCACAGATTGAATGTTTTGCTTCAAAGCTTTGGTATAAAATAATCTTCCTGCAACTTTACAGACAACATCAATAAAACAGGTACCCAGATTTCCTGTTCTTTTCTTCTTTTTTTTTTTTTTTTTTTTTTTACATTTTTGAAGGCAAACTACTTTAGCTAGAGAGTACTCAGCCACAGTAACCTACCTTAGCTAAAGAGCAGTATAGCTGGAAACAACACACTTAGTGGAGGCTAAATGCTTGTTTCAGATCATACAGGGAAGCACCAATGGTCACTCCTTTCACAAAGGTGAGCCATGAACTTCCAGAGCCATTTCATGAAAATGCATGAGTTGTGTCTCTGAGCATACTGCAGTCCAGGAGATGAAAGGGAGCATTTCAGGCGTACCAGCAACAAGGCACCTATCCTGCAGCAATACCTGCCCTGCACTGAGTTACTGCAGTGGTCTCTGGAGGGGAGAGCAGCATCCCCCCTCGAGCCACGTCCTGCTGCAGGCTCAGCCCAGCCTAGCAGTGCAGCTCTGCACACAGCCACGTGGCACAGACACCCAGCCTCACCCTGCCCCGAATCTTCTCTTTGTTGCCAGACCTAACCTGCAGTGTGCACCCGGTCCTGCGCAAAACAGCGTCCACTTGTTTCTCAAAACCATTAACTGAAGGAGAGGAACGTTTGCCAGGAGCTGACCGCTACCTCTCCCCCCAAGTGAGTACATTTAGCAGGCAGCTTACAGAGGCGGTCGGCAGTCTCTGGGTGCAGGTAACCGGCAGCCGCAGTTTCCAGTCTGTCTCACCATCCAGCTGGTCAGTGCGAAGGAAGCAAGACCCTGGGGAGCATCCAAAAGTGAGTGCTCTCAGGTAGGCACACCTACAGCTTACAGAATGGTTTTGTTTCTAGGACGTCTTTCTTTCTTTGGAAACGGTGTCTCATTTAAAGACTTAACAAGGTAAGAACAGAGGAATTACGCTCCTGCATCACACATTTGTTTCCTCCCACCAGTTCAAAGTACAGTGAGATTCTGCTCTGTGTCTTTAAGACATTTGAAATTAGCCATCATGCTCCGTAAACCTGCATTTCCTTATTCCACACGTAACAAAACAAACCTGGACAGCACGTAGAATGATTTACATTTATAACGCACGGCATTTTGTGGCCTCATTCACCCTGGATTCAACTACCTACTTTCTTGAGCAGCAAACAAAACCAGAGCGTAACATCCTGAGAACTGGTGGTCCCTGAAAGCCTTTGAATTCCCCATCTCCCCAAAATTTTACTATTATCTATTTCTTTCACGTTTTCAAAAGATAATTTTCTCTAAACAACCAGTGAAAGGTTAATGGCTATTTTGACAATTGGTTCCAGATGTTTACCATTCTTCTCCGACGTCCTCAGGAAGATCATGTCAGCAGGGACCCGCTGGTTCTGTTACGAGAAGAAAGGCCATTATTGTGCACACACCCCACACGCGTGCACAGCCTCTTTCCACAGCCCCGGCCACAAGCAAAGGCTACGGAGGAGAAAGAGCATTTCTGTGTCAAACTGAAGCTCTGTATTCATTTTGCTTGGAATCCTAAGCTCACTTCCCTGCAGAATCCCGAGTGCAGAATAACAACCGGAGCCAACTCCCACTGACCAGACTGGCCAACGTCTAGCTTTACAAAAGAGCTAGTGATAACTCCGGAGGTCAGAAGAAATGTTAAACCAATGCCAGTTTCCTTTCAAGGAAGCTCTATGCTAGAAGAAAGCACGTACCTGGGGTCTACAAGCTCTAGGTTTTGGGTAGTTGTTTTTTTTAACTAAATATTTTCATACTAAGTTTTAGAGGACACAGCTGCTTGCATGGAGAACGTGTAAAGAAAATAACTGGAGAAAAAAAAAGGGGAAAACATACATCCCATTGCCCACAAATGGATCTGTCCTTCCACCTTTGTGTTGGTTATAGCAGATTTTGATGTTGTATGCTGTATTTGCATCAGACATTTAACCTGTGTGCAGCAGTCAGAGATAGGGTCAGGGAGCCTTTTTGTCTTGCTATAGGGATCAGAAAACATTGCTTATAGGCACTTATTCTGAGATCTTGTTTGTAAAGGCAGTGATGCTATTTCCAGGGCCAGGGGGAAAAAGGGAGACCCTGAAAAGTAATTAAATACTGTGTTATCCAACACTCAGTACTGTAAGCCTATCATAAACCAAATACCTCAATTCCCAAGAAAAGCACTTTACAAAGAAGACGCACATAAAGGCTCACCTTTTCAACAATGATGAGGTCTCCTACTTGTATGTTAGAGCTCTTCACCTTCACAGTCCCTGCAGAGAGAAGACAGCAGTGTCGCAGCGCCGTGCAGCAGGGCAGGGCTGCTGCCATCACCCCCAGTGACAGCTCTGACACCGCAGCCTTTACACTTGGGAAAACACTTTCAGCACGTGCCAGGCAGACAATGGTGCAAAACCAGGAAAACTGCACCAGCAATCCACATGCTGCTTCTCCAGGTGGGCGAAAAGCTAAAGTTCAGCTCCCTGAGCTGAGACCTGAGAGCCACAACTAAAATGGGCACATCTTCAAAAGCAGGCTCACTCCATCCTGCAGCACAGCACTGACTCTGGTCACCTCAGCTTCCTCTCCTTCACCTCTGCAGGGACACAGCCCAACCACCCCTGCACAGACCAGGCACTACAGAACACACCTGTGTATTTTTTTATTGCAGCTGCTCCAAACGGAGGGTTAATTTAACATTTGGCTAGTGATTTCAGATCGCTAGCCAGCTCCTGATCTGCCTTCTCAAACTAACTAGCGATTTAAAAATCCATTAAATTGAACCTCGCCTCTCTGTGCCTGTTTTACTTCAACAAAAGCCTCCGTAAGGAGCTGTGATTTGGGTAGAAGTGGGAAAGGCACGGGGCAGCTCGCCTGGCACAGACAGCACTCCTCCTGTAGCTCCGCACTCAGGGCTAACTGGCCAGATAGCAGTGCAGGGGTGAAGGAGAAGGGGGAAGGGAGGGGGAGCAGAAATTAGCACAAAGCACAAAGGTCACTGGGATTTTACTACTGGCAGTCCCTTCATTAGCATCCTTCTCAGGATATGCTTCAGTGTTTCTGCTCCAAATTAACAATGAAAGCCTTTCTGGGCTCCTGGCAGCCTGCTGCTTTGGTGACACACTGTGTGCTTAACAACATGCTTCATCACTGCTGCTAATAAATGCAGACTTCCTTGCATGCTGTAATTATTCCTACAAATTATAAGCAGTCATGGCCCATTTCACAAATATCTCATAGGTCCTCTGCAGACTCTGGGTTTTGCCATGGGAAAGATTTAGATTTTGGGTTGCTTGTTTGTTTGTTTTTAAAAAAGGTAAACAAAATGAATGCTGGGCTAAAAACATCCCTGCCAGGCAGGAAAAGCACCAGGGATTAAGAGTCCATTATGCAGAGGCTTGAAAAGAAAAGCTGTGCTCTGAGAGGATGCAAAAAAGCATCCCTGGCAGCCTTCTGCATGGCCATCCAAAGCTAGGTGCTCTGACACTAAAAGGGTCTGACAGATAACATCTCTTCCTCCCCTTTTAGGATGGTTGTTCAGGGAACAACAAAAAGTGCTTTGGAATATTCCTCTGTGCAAAGGAGGTTGGAATCCCACACAGCACAGCACAGCAACCCCTGTGCAGAACAGCCCATGGGAGGAGAGGTGGCACTGCTTTAACCCTAAGGGGGGACTTCTTAAAGATCGCATGGATTCTGGTGGTGGATGGCAGTGTAGAAATGCTTCCTGCAGGGCTTGGGAATGGAAGTTTGGTTTTCTATCACTTTTCCTTAATGAAATCAAGTCATGCTGGAAAAAAAATGCTATGTCAAAGCTACAACACAATTATTTCCTATCATTACGTGCGTTAAAGGGCTTTTTGCATCACTACTCTGAAAACAGCATTACCTGCTCCAAAATGTTTTCCAAAAAGGAACTGGAACAGATTTGCCTTGTTCAATAACCCTCCCAAAATCAGCTGTTTTAAAGTAAAAGAAAGAGAGGAGCTCTGTAAGCACTGCATGCTTTTACAACTCTTGTACACACATGCGAGATGCCCTTTTTAGGTAGCAGAGCTAATTCTGCTTCCCAGCCTCTCGTGGATGACATCTCTGCAGTCTGCACCATATGTCCCACCACGAAGGCACAGGACCAGATGTTTCCTTTGACTCAGGACTCCTATAAAGCAACTTACTTGAATTGTTTTTATTTTGATCTTGGGAATTCTGCAATACCTTTCTCCTTCTGCGGGGAAACAAGCTCCTAAACATTAGATGTTTTCTCACACATCTGAGAAACTAGCTAATAACACAACTGCTTCGTTTCCCAATATTGCTCCATTATTAAAGTATGCCTGTAATAAGAAATAGCTGCTTTTAGAAAGGCACTTAGAAGTGCTTTCTAGGAACACCCAGGTCTGTTAGCACAATCACAAACAAGCAGCTAGATCTCTTCTGTTAAGAAAAAAAGTGTGATACTTGTTTCATTCTGAATTGTTTGGTTTTGATAAAAGCCAGAAAAGAGATAATATAATGCAAGCACTTTGCTGCAACTTTATCTATGGCCTCTGGAATCATCGCCAAATTTGCAGTGCGATGGATATACCACAAAGCAGATTATTTAAAGTATTCAGCCAGGAGAAATGCCTTTTTCTGTCACATGAGCACTTAAGATCTCACCATAGATGTGCACAGCTAAGGCAGAGTTCAAAATAGTTCATCTGGCCTTGAAGATTACAGTGCAGTTTATTGAAACAAGATGAATGCATGCCAAGAAATGAAAGGGTGGTTCGGATGCACTGCACCCAACTTTGGGCTTCTGTGGCTTTGTGCTGTATAAACTGCAGAGCGGGGCTCAGAGGGGTTGGGAAAATATTGTTTTTCTATGGCTGGTAAATGCCAATGATCTGTATCTTTAGGAGCACCCCTCGGTAGGAGGTCTCCTCCCATTGCTTTCTGTGGAGTCTCTCTCTGTTATGCAGTGTTACCCAGGGAGGGCAGAGAGAGAGAAGAAAAACAAACCAAGAATTTGTGAGCACGGTTCTAAGCTTTCTATCATGCAGAAAGTCAGCACACAGCCTTCTGAACACAAGGAGGTTTGTAGGTTTATGAATAGGGGATTGAAATTTGATTGTTTTTTTATTGCAATCCAAACAACTGTCTTTTAAAGAAAAAGCTTTAAAAAAAAAAAAAAAGCTACGAGCTACTGGTTTCGTCATTTTGGAACATAAACGGATCGTAATGGTGGAGGAGAAAAAAGGTTCAGAGGGATTTGTCTTACGATGTTAAAACAACACAGAAAATACCTGCCTGCCCTGCATCACACCGCCCTCCAAGAACACTACAGACACTGCAATTCAGCAACCACATTCAAAGTAAAATGTGACCCAAAGAGGATTCTCACTTTTTCTCTGCAAAGAAAGCAGCCTGGCAAGGCTTACAAAGCTGAGCGATCCCAGCCCCCGACACGAACCTGCACACAAGGAGCAGGGCTGGGCTGCACGGGGAACCGAGCGCTCCTATCTGTGCTTACCGGCACCCTCACTCAGAGCAGCACACGAGCAGTTTTGTTGATTGATACTTCATGTGTTTATGCACGTATGGGCTTAAGTCACCCCTTCATTTACACCAGAGAATGTACTCTCAGCCTTGATGTTGCTGTGGGGGAGTAAGGCTGAAGATGGGAAAACTATTCTCCAGTCACCTTAATGGCAGCTTGGTGCAATTACTCGGGGGAAATAAAAATAGCTTGGAGAAAGCTGCAGAGCCATTAGATCCATTATTGCCAATCTCCAAGAGCAGCAGTGCTCAGCATCGTGCCTCACCTAATCTCCCCCTCCTAAGCACTGGCTTTAGCGGTGGAGCTATTGTCAGCCTTCAGCCAGCCAGCAACAATCCAGAGGGCTTTTGAGCAGTGCCCCTGTGCACTACAGGGCTGTGCCAGTATCCCAAAGCACAAACTGTGATGCAAAACAAAAACAAAACAAAGTCCTACCCGGAGTTTCCCAGCTGCACTGAAAACTAACGGTTACGTTCAGCTGTTCTCAACTTAACTCCAACTTTGCTATTTGCTGCTTTTACTCCTGACCCAAAGAAGCCCCTGCTGGAAAGTCAGCCACCTTTTCCTGCTGTTCACACAGACACATACGCTCAGAAGCCCACCATGCACCCCCAGCCATGCTGGCATCGCACACTGCTGCTGCAGTCAGAAATGACTCTCAGCCTTTTCAGATGTGGATGTTCACATCCTCCGAACAGCTCGACTACTGACAGACGCTGTACTTCGCACGAGACAGAAAATGGCTTTGCTCCCCAGCCAACTTGATAATCACAAATAGTTTCTGTGGTTTTCCTACTCTAACCTACGCCGCTTGAGGCTTTCATTACTGATTCTACACCAACCGTGTGCTAATAACAAACAAAGTGGCTTAGGATTTCCAACCACTGCCCAGCTGCCAATCCTCCTTGGGTTCTTTCACAAAATTAGAGAAGTTAAAGGACTGGGGGAAGGGAAATCATTCATGGGAAACGTAATAGCAATATGAAAAGAACTAAAGGAGAGGTCAGGCCCCTTATAGATCATTGAATAGAATCCAGAAGGCAACTCTTTTATATTTTTAAATAGATGTAGTATACCCCTCTCGGGTGAGGCTTTTGTTGGTTGCCAAGCATTTTAAGTGTTGTAGTAAGAACATGTTATTAAAAGAGGATTTAATATTCAGAAATTCAGATTCCCCAGTTTGGAGATGTCTCATAATTCCCAGCATGTGAAATATACACAGCCTTAAGCAATCACTTTAAAAAAAAAAAAACAACTTGCTTTTAAAGTGCAATTGTTGGAAGCTGTGCACTTCTAACACACCTCGTGCACTGCATCTTATTTCAGAGGTGTAAACTTTTATAGCAAAGACACTTGAAAATAATAAAAAAAAAGTTGCTTAAATTCAGCTAATTCCCTTCTTAGAAACAAAGCCGTGGCGTCACCAACACTGTCACAGTATTAGCAGCCACTACAGCAAGGCAGCATTCAGTGTTCCAAACGAGAATTCAAGTGCTTTTGTTATGTGTGACAGAGCCGTAAACAACAGGCAGAGGCAGCCAGAGCTGCAGCCTGCGCTCATGGAGGCGAGGGCTCTGCATTCCTCACTGCTGGACGAAGGGGCTAAAGAAGATGCAAACAAAATAAGAGAAGATATTATCAATACTGAGGAACTACATCTGTCACTGCTTACAGAAACATACAGAAGGTGTGGTAACAGCACACACAATCTCCCCTAGCAAAAAGCTTGCACGATGCATGTCACAGAAGAACTGTGAAACTCAACCAGTATTGCATTTCAGCAAGGGATGGAGTGTGTCAGCATGTCAGGCAATTCACCTGAAACATAACAAGTGCACATACAAGCTCCATCAGGACAGAGTGCTTGCACTGAACTATGGTTTGCAGTAGGCATGCTGGAAAGGTTCCCAGCACTAGGCACAGCCACATGGCCCACCTCCACCCTCACATGTTGAAACTCCTTTTGCAGAAAGCAGCTTCTGACAGTTTCACAGACTGAGGCTTAATTTCTTGGTTAAATGCTTGCGCAAATAATCTGACCCTGTGGATCCTCCTCATTTCCTTTGCCACACAGTTGTTGCTATCAAGGAATATGAACTGCTAGTTTATAGGAATTGTTCGTATATCTGCTTCTCTCACCCATACTGTGACCAAGCAAGAAGCAAAGGCAGGGGAAGGACAGGAGAAAATGAGGAGAACAGCAGCAGCCCAAAGAGCATGCATCTATTACAGCCTGCTTCATCCTACTGTATGCTTGCAGTATTTGCCTCCCTCCTTCCATTCCTGCACCGCTTCTCTCTGCAGAAAAGAAAACATGTTTCCCTTCTGGGAAGAGCACAGAATCACAGAATGGCCAGGGTTGGAAGGGATCTCAAGGATCATGAATCTCCAACCCCCTGCCACATGCAGGGCCACCAACCTGCCATTTAATGCTAGACCAGGCTGCCCAGGGCCCCATCCAACCTGGCCTTGAACACCTCCAGGGACAGATGGGGCATCCACAGCCTCTCTGGGCAGCTGTTCCAGCACCTCACCACTCTCTCTGTAAAGAATTTCCCCCTGACATCCAACCTAAATCTCCCCTCCCTCAACTTAAAACCATTTCCCCTCATCCTGCAGTTCTCAACCCTTTCAAAGAGTTGATTCCCCTCCCCTCTGTAGGCTCCCTGAAAAAAAAGCACCTCCGAACCCCAGGAATTTCATTTCCTTTGGTTACTCAAATCTACCAAGAAGGAACAGTAACCTGGAGAACAGGTTTGGCCTATGCCAGAATCGAGAATATTGAGAGTACGCAGCTTCCGTCAGCTGCATGGAAGCTCCATGGAAGCAGCTGCAGGCTGCACGGTGAGCCCCAGGGCAGCTCCTGCAGGCAGCCAAGCAGTGCCTGGGCCATGCAGCTCCCAGCACAGCCCCACGCAGCCCACCCAGCACTCACCTCTCCCTGTGAGCTTGCTGTAGATCTGTGAGTTCACCTCCTTGTCGCGCATGTAACACCTGATCTCCTCTGCAGCCTCTCGGATGACGGTAACGGCGAGCACAAATCCCTGAAAGAGAACAGGAGAAAGAGTGGATGGAAAGGCAGCAGAAAAGGCATCTGCCTCTGACAGGCGCCACGCACTATACTCATCAGTAGTAATGCCATTCATTAACTGAGAGGGAAAGTTCCTGCCACAAATAAAAGCAACATTTCTGGCACATGGAGAATGATGAGGATCACCTGTAGAGATCAGACTTGAGAACACGTCTGTCTGATTTCCTTAACTAAAATTGTACATGCAGAGTCCAAGGAAGGGCTATTTATTTTTATTTTTTTTAATGCATTCAGTGCTGCTTTTGCAAATGCTGAAACTAGGAAGCCATCAGACAACCTTTTCAGAGAGGCATTGCACCCCACAGTGCTGTTTTGCACAGCCACAGAAGTTTTCATTCCGGTAACCAACAAATTGAGAAAGCAGTGAACATGTCTCTCCTATGTGCAATCTGCATCCGTGTGCTTAGCTAGAAATTCCTACCTTCTTCTCAAAAAGAAAAAAAAACATTGGAATTTTATTTTCAGCTTATGTTTTAGCTGCTTGAAGAGTCTTCAAATAACGACCTCAAAATATTCCCACATGTGCAGCCTCACCATGCCATCACACAGGTCATCCTATCCCCAGCCCTGGGACTAGCAGCCAGTGGTGAACAAAGACTTTTCTTATGCTGCTTTCTGGCCACTCCTGAGCCAAACCCCAGTTGCTCACCTGGCACAGACAAGTCACAACTGCCTGTACAAAACCAGAAAGGGAGTTCCTGCGTACTTGTAGGATAGGATCTGGTGAAATTGCTGTTGGATTCACACTGCAAACGCAATTTAAGTACTAATTTGAGAGAGAAAGCAGCGCGATCCAGGCACTGACACAAACAGAGCCTTAGCAGCCGAGTCCTCAAGTTGCACTTTTTCTCCTTTTGGACTTAGGCCAAGGATTTCACTGTTCTGGAAGCCTAAAAGGCAAGAAAAATTCCCTCTGCCCCCTCCTCATCCCACCTGCTCTTAATAGAACCATGGGTTTTTTACCACAACCATTTCACAAAACAGCAAACAAATAGTGCCTGAGAGCACTGTGCTTTCATGATCAAATCTCAGTTGATTTTTTTTAATGTTTCTTTAAAGCAAAAAAGATTTCGAAGCTCGAAAATTTTCAAAGCTCAGGAAGGTGAGGGAACCCAACCTGAGTTGCTTTCTGCTCTGAGCAGCAGTCGGATCAGAGGCACTTTTGAATCAAAGTTATTCTGCAGCACTATAGGCTGAAGTGCAGCAGGAAAGATATTTACATAAAGAGAGAAATAACAGTTGCACTTGGATAAAAGCTGGGAAAAAATACAGCTACCTATATGAAAGCATTTGCCAGTTTTGACTGGCTCATGCAGTGCAGTTCAGAGATCTAACAGCCCCACACAGCTATTCTTCATTACATCCTTTGACAGCATATGAGCTTCTGCTTCAAAACTGATTATTATTGATTTCCTTTGATCAGGCAAAACATGTGGCTATCAAAAGAAAAGGGCAAACGTTTAGAGGAAGGAAAGAGAATCTGCACTTTGAACAGGTATGAGGCTACACACGTTTGTCCCTCTATATTTATATATATGCTTTTGGTATTACAACATGGCAGTTATTTTCCACGCAGGGCTGTTTCTCAGGTTTCTCTCATTTGTTTTTCACAATGTGGTTAACCCATGAATTGTCTGTTGACCTACGCCTAAAGTGCAGGTCAAACTGTTTGGCAGGAGAGCATAATTTGCCTCCATTGCGCATATGGCCACTCTTTAAGGTCACTTCAGAGAGGTGCCCTTTGGTCCCTCGCTGCAGTAACCAGGCTGGTCTGGGCTCCCAGTGCTTGGGCTCCTTGGGAGGGCCAGATGCCCTCACAGACCCTCCACCAGCACACCCTGCCTTTGGAGAAGCTGTGAGCAACACACAAATCACCAGGGCAATGCATTTATTCTGGTCCCCACTTACTTCACCACTTCATACGCTTTATCCTGATGCCTTTGCAGTCGCCGTGTGCAGTGCTTGAGAGCTCTGTCTCTGCTGGCATCCCACTGATGAACAAGGTAGAGGCAGAGACCTCCCACCCCAGGGCCAGCTGTATAAAACAGCGCCTAAAGCCAGAGCAGCCATCTATGAGACATGTGCAGAGCAGGGCCTGAAACAGTCAGCTAACTAAGTGATTTGAGGTACAGGCTTACAGCCTGGAGAAAGGCAGCAAAAGAAATTGTGTCAAAAAAGGAAAGTTTCTTAAATAAATAAACCTCAGATCACCTACCAGAGGAACCCAGTACGTGTAGAGTGCACCAAGCCTCATTTCAACAACAAATTGAGAGCAGGCCAAGAGCAAGAAGTAAAGGTTGAAGAAGTATTTGAACTGGTTAAATAACACCTAACAAAAAAAGAAGAAAAGAGGTCAGTAACAGAGTTTAGAAGTTATACAAGTCACACTAATGTTCTGAAACATTCCTGCTTGTTTCTCCAGTACATACATGCCCACTTAGGGTAATCTTAAAGTACTCCTGGAAACACTTTTCTAAATATCAACCCACTCTTCCTGGCTGCTGGTATCCTGGATACCATCCTGGATAACACTGCCATAGGCCCAAGTATTACCACAAATAAGTCATTTTGTTTTGGTAAACAAAACAAACTTCTGACTATCTCCACACGAAGAGACATTCATAGCAAACAGCAACATCATTAGCTGCAGGACTTGGTTTGCAAAAAATCACACTGTAGACATCAGAAGAAGATAATGAACTCAGAAAGCTTGGCTTGTTTTAATGTTCAACCAGACAGTGACAAGTAATGTGCTTTCTGACATTAAAAGTGGGCAGAATCAGAGTTGTTTCTGCTGCTGCTACCAGAAGTTAGGGTGGATGATCCAGCTGCTCCACCAGGGATGATGGACACCCTGGAGCTGCTGCCCAGCCCACACAGCAGGCTGCTCCCCCAGCAGTGGCAGGTGAGAGGCACCAGTCCCCCCATCACCCCTCTAAACGTGGAGCTGTTCTGCCGTGGCACAAACACAAACCAGATGGCACACATTTGCTTCTGTGCTCGCCTACTGTAACAGCATGGAACTGGGCACAGCGTTGGGCAGGACGACAAGAAGCACCTTTCCTCACACTTACCCCAGGGAGAAACGTAAAAAAGTTGTATTTCTGGTTGTTGATAACATTGCGGGGGTATCTCTGGTCTCTCTTCTCTGGATGGCCAAGCCAAACCGTACGAGGCCTGGGGTCTCTTCTCCCACAGCATCGTAAGCACTCACAGCACCTACGAGAGGAACATCTTATTTTAAATAAGAAGTTACTCTTTAACCACGATTCTCACACACCCCAGGCCCTCTCCACCTGCCAGGCCAAACAGCCCAGGATCTTCCATCAGCCACCTCTCGTCTGCTTCTGTTTTCCACCACATTAAACCACCTTTAAACCAGGAGCTCTCCTCCTCACCAACCAGCGGGTCAGATCTACAAACTGACCTTTGTCTTACTAAGAAAATTCAAGAGAAAAATCTTTCTTCCACACATGACTGTGTACAAAACCCACATCATAACACTTGTTTGCAACATGGAGCAAACAGTATGATGGTGTGAGACACTCAAATTCACGAACTTTACATCAGCAATATATTTTATTAACTTGGTACCTTTTAATTGGGAGTTCTCTTTTTCCTTTGCAGGTGAAGAGCTAAGATAAATAGTCATTTTACCATTAACTTGCCTCTCAAATAAGTTTGAATAGATAACAGACGAAATGGTGATGTTCAGATTGCAATAAAAAAAATTAAATGGTCTATAGAAAAAAAATTCCTTTTTTCTATAATGGAGGAAATCGCACAAGATTAGCCTACATCTCATGTTTTAACTACAGTGAACTCAGAATGATGGAAATCCAAACAAGAGGCTTTGCCCACTGGAACAAGGCTGGTATTCACAGCTTCATTAGGACGTGCTTCCAGCTATGGTGGGAACCACTCAGCCCTTCCAGCCATCTGAAACCAGTTACCTTTGTTTATTCTGTAGGTTGGGCCTCTTTTAGGGATCCTACTCACCAGCAAAAGGAGCTACATCCAAATATTTACAATAGGACGAAGCTTGAGCAGCGCACTACTGTCGTCTAATAGATCTTTCACTTGAGCTGTTAGCTTTTACAGTGTGATATTCACCAATATGCTCCAGAGGGATTTCCAGACATCTGGGCAGATCGTCAAGCCAATATCTAAACCTCCAAAACAGACTTCCAGACACGTCAATTTCAGTAACTCACAGAATATTTAGACTGGAACGTACATGAAAATGGTGAGTGAACCCCACCAGGTAAGCAGGACGTTCCACCTTTAGGGCAGTGTGCTCCACCCAGCTGTTTACACACAATTACACTGCTGTCAGTCTAGAAGGAAGTTAATAGCACTGCAGAACCCTTACAACTGCTCCTTCCTGAAGGGCACTGCAACCTCCAGTACTGACAGCACCTCTGAAGGCAGGGAAGTGCAACGTAACTTCTCAAAAGTGAAGCAACCCAAAATTTCACACATGTTCTGCAATTGAAGCCGCAACCTCCTTGAGCATTCTCACCACAGAGACACTTGGTGCTGTAGGAATTTTAATGTACAAACAATGTGTTACTATAAGGTTTGAGAATCCATCTAAAAATAACAGTTCTAAGTACAAACACAAAGGCCATGGAAGGATCTGCCACGCAAAGTCACAGGTTTGTGAAATTCCTGCCCTGCTGCACTCACAGCTTTCGCAACGTCCTGAATTACAGGGAAAGCAAACCTAAGACCTCATCAGACAAACAAAGGAGAAACTTCCTGCTCAGCAAGTTTTCAAAGGCAAGTACCAGAAGTATCAACGTTCGAATTAAGAATACCCAGCATTTCTACCACAAAGTCTCCTACACAGCCTTTTAATACGTGGCTTCTAAGCAACATAAAGGAATTTGTTAAAAAGAAAAACAAAACAACTTCCAACCAATGAACTAATACCAACAATACTACAACCAGCAATAGCCAAGCTGTGCGTTGTGACAGCATTTAGCTGCAGAGCCAGGAATCCCAGCAGGCACCTCCCCACTGCTCTGAGCTGGAAAGCATGCAGGGCAATGAAGGCTGATCTTTATCTCACATATGTCCAGGGAGATCCCCAGAGAGAATGTTTTTAATTCTTACTTTTCTAAACAAAAGCACGTACCAGTCCCCAGGATGGCATTTAACCTTCCCTTTTTCCCCAGCCTTGTTCCCCTTCTGTCCCACAGACTGCCCTGCTGCACCTTGCTGGGCATGCAGAGCAATAGAGTACAGCATGTCAGAGACAACAGTTACTCCTGTACACCAGTCATGCCAGTGAGTGCATGCATGGCCTGGCACATTGCTAGCAACAGAGCTTCTGGTAAGAACACAGACATCTCTTAAGCACAGAATGATCACAGAATCCTAGAATCACCAAGGCTGGAGAAGACCTACAAGGTCACCCACTCCAACCGTCCACCTGTCAGCAATAGTTCTCACTAAGCCATGTCCTTCAACGCAACGTCTAAATGTTGAACATCTCCATGGTTGGTGATTCCACCACCTCCCTGGGCAGCCCATTGCAGTGCCTGACCACTCTTTCAGACGTCTTCCCCAGAAAAGAAAAAAACATATATTCAAGTGCCTCTGTATTTATTTCAACTCTGATGCTGTCGTTAACGAAGAAAGCATATCTAAGCTCACAAGTTTTGTTTGAGAATCCTCCATACACGTCTTCAGTCCTCACAGGGTGCCTTAGCAAACGGGAGCAGCTGCAGCAGCACTCAGTGCTTTTACAGACCAATGGCACATCCCACAAACCACCCAGGATCATGTGCAGGCAGGATGACTTCACTACCTGGCCCTTTTTGTATTACACAGCCAATGCTGCAAACTGAGTAAACACCACTTGTTACTGCCCATGCGCACCCCCAGAGGCATGGAGTGCCTGCACAGAGCAGGGACAGCCACGTCTGGGTGCACCCTCCTGGGCTGCAGTGCTACATGTCAGACGTGGGACACCCACGTGCAAGGATGGCAAACCTTTACAAACATGAAAAGGTGTACAAAGACAGCTTAAAAGAAGAAGTTGTCATTGTGTTGTGTTATTCACATTCTAAATCACAACTTGACAAACAAAAAAAGCCCGGACTCGGAAAGGACAATCGCTCAGAAGCATCTCTTCTGATGTGAACTGCCTCCCAGACTCCAAGTCCTATAGGCAGTGTGGCTCTTCACCTGCACAGGGAGCTAAATGAACAGGAGCTGCTGAAGGTCACGGGGCTCACTACGTACTTACAGGAAGCACCACAGAAATGCACTCTCAGCGATGATGCAAGCAGCAGTAATACAACAGACTGACTGTCAGATGTGTGATGAACAGCCATCACCAAGCAGCAGTTCTTATTTATAAACGCAGCATGTTGGACAGAGAAACATTTTCGAGAGAAAATGAAAAAAAAGCTTATGAAAGCACAACGAAACTAATGGAAAAGTGCCACATTTTCCTAAAACTGGAGTAGAGTTAGTCCAGTCAGCACTGAAGCTCATTCCATATATTTAATAATTCCTACAATCCCATTTCTCAGATGACATTTCCATGTTTCTCACAGGTGACACTGTTAAGGACCTGCAACCTACAAACCAGCCTCTTGCATATCAGTATTTTAAATACATGTAAACAGTTTCCTATTGATATTGAAAACAAACGAACAAAGCCAACCAGGCAGGCACACTGCCCAGCCCTGCAGCCCATGCCCTGCCACCAGCCGTGCAGCAGTGCTGGGCAAGCTGTGTCCCCACAGTGCTGCCCCAGCACAGCCCAGCCCTGGCACACCCACCAGCAGGCAGGCGGCGGCCAGGAGCTCCCATCTCCCTCTGTTGACTTGGAAATGGAATTTGCCATTTTAAGCAGACACATAGAGCACACACACACAGACTGTAAGGCTCCTCCTCCCCAGTCTCATTCCCTGTTCTCCCTCCCGCATTCCTGGATCAAGGCCTCTTTACATTGCAGAGGCACGGTGAGCACAGAAGCTCGCTGGGTTCAAAAAAAGCCTTGCAGGATTGCAGACTGAGACCATAAGCTATTTAGGGAAAAACTTCTGTTGTGCACTGAAAGGATGCCCGGGGTGCCTCGGGAGCTTGCAGCTCACATCCCAGCAGTGCCCAGCCCTGGGAAGCTGGGACTCCCGTGCCACACTGCCAACAGTCCACCCCTTTGTGCCATCCTGAGTGGTTCTCAGAGCGCTGCAAGGCCTTTGGGAAATATGGCTGAATTCATGGAGTACAGCTGCAAAGCACAGAGAACACACACTCTTTGACAACAGCCAGGAAGATCCACATGAAAGTTATGCTCCGGAACAGATAACCACTACTCCCATTGGTTTATTAGGCACATGCTTTCTCCCTCTAACACAGATCTCAGCTGTCTGGACCATTATTCATCTCCACAAAGCTACTGTATGAGTTCCTCCCTGGCTGCTCTTCAAAGCACATTACAAGCTGAGGCTGTAATCAAAGCAGCATTGAGATGACACCTGTCCTTTGCTGCCTGTGTGAGAATTAGGTATGAGAATTGGGCATTTATTCCTTTTTTTTTTTTTTTTTTTTTTGGCTGAGATTTCTATGAAGTCGTTCAGTCCATGAAATAAAATCTATTTCTCACTCCAAACGACACTAAGCCAGCAAAATCTGTCTAAGAAGTTGCCCCCACTGGGGAAAAAGGCAGACATGCTAGAAACTGCAGTCAGGCTATGTTAAAATGAAGCCTTTCACAGCTTGGTTACCAGCAGGTTTTCACATGTATAAACGAAGATGACTTGCGAGTGCCTTTGTTTGTGTTTTTCTCAGAGGAAACAGAAGAAAGGTCCTGATGACAGCTCAGGGCTCCCCAGACTCCATCCCAGACCTGACCCCAGGACCTGCCCTGGCCTGCTGGCTGACTCCTCCTGCAGTTGCTAATAATACTTTGGATTTCCTCCACCTCACCGCTTTGCTACCCACACTATCATTTGATTGAATTACAGCCTTATAATCAGCAAAACAAGACATAAGCTCCCAGGAAGCAATCAAATACCCAAACAGAAAACCCAAAGCCAAGTTATTCAGACTGCCATTAAGAAAAATCCCACGTAATCTTCCTTCACAACTTCACGCCGCCAGCATTTCCTGATGGCACAGAAGCATCATCTGTGTGTCTGCTGACCAGGTGAGGTCTGGTGCCATGAGCTGCAGCTTAGGTTAGGTGGAGGTTATTACTGCCAGCCACTACCAACCACTTCATAGTAGAGATGTGCCAGAGATCAGAGCACTTTCTGACAAAAAAAAAAAAAAAAAAAAAGATTCAAGAAGCTTTGAGAAATTTCTCTGGCTGCCACTACCTCTTCTCTCTGAGCCTTTTCAATCACATCACTGAATTTAATGCATGGTGGCTGCACCCTGTGGAACCTGGCCAGCAATGCATGTCATGCAGGGGCTGGGGAGTTCTGTGCTGCATCACACGTACCTTCCAGCTCAGTATTAACTGCCACAGACACTGCTACATCAGCTCACAGAAACTGTGCTGATAGTTTATTCATTATACTACTCTTTATTAAGTACAATAACTTCAATTAGAGGAACCTGAATGAAGCCATCAACCCAAACCATAACAAACAATGGAAAAATAACAATTTCCTTTCGTTCTAGCAGGCATTATTTCCTTTGAGGCTTTGCTTCATTTTGCTAGCATCACTCACCGCACCTACAAACACATCCAATGCAGAGCCAAGTTCTGCACGGCAACCTGACAGCCGGGTAACCCGGATACCCCATGCACACCACCCCGTCTGCAGGCAGTGCCATTTCCCACCGAAATCGCGTTAACGGGTCATTCGTCTTATTCAGCTTCCTGTCTGGAAGCACCGGCAGAACGCATCCACTGCAACATCCCAGCTTAACGCTACTGTATTGCTTCCGCTGATACAGTTACAGAGCGCTCAGCCGGAGACCTTCGGCACATCCCCGCACCCCGTTCCCAGGCAGAGCCGCTCCCACGGACCAGCCCGCAGCTCCCGGCTCTCACACGGCTGCTCCGGCAGCGCAGCTCCGCGCCCGCCGACCCCCGGCCTCCAGCGGTGGGCTCGTGCCGCTCCGTGTGCCGGGCTGCGATAATCGCAGGCCCCGTTCTCCTCCAGCCCCGGCTCCGCAGGGCCGCCCGGCACGATCCTTCCCAGCGCCGGGCGTGCCACGGCAATGGCGCCGGGAGCGACCTGTCAGCGGCCGCCAGCCCCGTCCTCCTCCTCCTCCTCCTCCTCCTCTCGCTCGCTCCCTCACCCGCTGCCCAGCAGCGACCCCCGCCCCGCAGAGGCCCCGAGCAGAACCGCGACGCGGGCAGCGGCGAGGCGATGCAGCGGAGCCCCGGCCTCATGCAGCCGCTCCGCGGAGCGCTCACCCGCTGCGGTGCTTGCTGTCCATCCGCTTCTTCTGCCGGACCGGCTGCAGCGGGATATTGTCGGTCATGGCCGCGGCGGCCGGGGCGGAGCGGGGCGGGATGCGCTTCCCAGCAGCGCCTCGGCTCGGCGCGGCTCCGCCGATGGGGCCGCGCTCCCAGCACGCAGGTGCCGCGCCCGCCCCGCCCGGTTCGCCCCGCCCCGGCTCGGTTCTGACCCGCGGGCGGCGGCACCGGCTGGGAACCCGCTGTCGGAGTACCGCGCTGCCGGCACCCACTGCCCGCCCGCATCCCACCTGCCGCTTCTCCTTGGTGCCCCCAGCTCTTCTTCCCAGCCGAGCTCAGCACCCGCATACTGGCACCGCTGGTCTCCTGCACGCACAGCCTCTGCACGCGTGGCCGCCCGGGCTTTCCCGGAGCAAAAGGCCCGTGGCACGACCTGTGCGTCCTCTGCCCCCTTCAGCCGGCACACGTGTACGTGTAGAGGTGCTGCTTGTGTCTCCCATTACACCATCCCTCCACCCACATCGCAGGACCAGGATCCCAGGGCTGCCTCTCACATCATTCTTGCATGATGACCATCACCTATACCCGGCCAAGACTTACTTCTAGGTTTGATTCAGATTTCAACTGTAAATTCATATAGGAGTCATCCCAGCATTTCTGTTCTGTTTAAGACTCAAAGCTTTTCTTTGCAAAGCTTTTCTTTCCCCGTTCCTTCAGCCACTCCCCATAAGACTTGTGCTCCAGACCCTGTTCAGCCTTGCTGCCCATCTCTGGGTGTGCTCCGGAGGCCTCAGTGACCTTCCTGTCGTGAGGGGCCCAACACTGAGCACAGCACTCAGGGTGCGGCCTCACCAGTGGCAGTACGGAGGGATGACCACCTCCTGCTGACCACCTCCTTCCTGCCTGAAACCACCGGATTCACACGTGTGCACCCTACAGACGGAGGAAATGCCCAGTGCCGACAGGGATCAAATAAAACAGAGCTACGTGTCCATCTCAGCATCTTCTGCTGCAGTCCTGGTCACCACAGGATCTTCATCTCTTTGTAGTTCAAGGCCAGCTTTTACTTGTCCATTTGCAGACCGTTGGCAAAACCTTTCCCTTATCAAATAACCTGCCCAGAATCGGTCACCAGGCAAAGAGATTCTGTGTCCTTGTATCTGCTGGCAGTGCTGCTGCAGCTTCTTGCCCTGCCTGCACTTTGTCTTGTAGCTCATCATCCTGCCAAGCTAAAACACCACAGTGACAGTGACCAAGAGCAGGAAGTAAGTGAGTAAGCCACAGTGTAAGTCCAACATCTCTGTCTGTGTGACATATTAAAGCACATGAGGCACTCCCATTTAAAGCATACGTTGCCTACAGAGTGTTTTCCTGCCAAGTTTCACCTTGGGATTCTGGGCAAGTAAAATGCATGATAAAAATGATGAATTCAGCGACACTACACAAGCATGTTGTGTATTGTAATGTACAAACCATGGCATTCAAATGACAGACTATAAATACCCATTGGATACAAAATACATGTGTCCTGATGAAACAGCAACCACTGCTCTGCACTCCAGTCCTTCAGAGACTGCTCACACTGAAATGAAAACTGATGAGCATCGTCCTAATGCTCTAATTGCAGCCACACACTCCATTTTTTTGGCATATCAAATTCTGAATGGATGGAACATTTTTTTTAAGATTAAGCTTAATGTAATCTTAAGTAACAGTCAGAACTTTCCCAGTGAAAAGGGAAAAAAGGAAAAAAAAAAAAAAAAAAAAAAGGAGAAGTGCAAAGAAGAACAAAAGAACAACTTCTGTCAGAATTTGTGGGGAGCTCTGTTTGCTCTCCTGCCCTCCCAGAGCATTAGCTCAGGTTGCACTGTGGATTACAAATGAACAACAACTGAAATTGTCAGTTCTTGTGCAGTTGCAGCCTCCCTGCCTCACCCTTCTGCCTTTCTCCCCAGGTCTCCATTGCCCCTCTCCCTCCCTGCACCCACTGCCTGTGGCACAGCTGCTCACCCATGGGCACAGTTTTCAGAGTGCCTCGCAGATCCTCACACTGACCTGGGTCTCTGCCTTGCACCAATGAAAGGGTAGGTAAGCCATAGAATCATACAATCATACAATCATACAATCATACAATCATACAATCACAGAATGGCCTGGGTTGCAAAGGCCCACAATGCTCATCCAGTTCCAACCCCCTGCTGTGTGCAGGTCGCCAACCAGCAGCCCAGGCTGCCCAGAGCCACATCCAGCCTGGCCTTGAATGCCTGCAGGGATGGGGCATCCACAGCCTCCTTGGGCAGCCTGTTCCAGTGCCTCACCACTAAGCTATTATGGGGTGGTGCCTACCTTCCTCCTAGAAACAAGACCAGTGCCAATTACTCAAACAAGAGATGTTTGCTTTGACAGTATGCTTGCAATGTGTGTCCATTACTTATTTAGCACAATATGCCGTAAATGTTATTCTATTCTAGTTGTGCACTTAAATAAATGATTTGAGTCTGTCATGTACAGGACTCCTGTGATTTCACCTGATGAACATATTTGAAGGTGATAACAACAATACTCTGCTTGACTTTTTATATGCTGGAAGAGCAATAAAGTTTTGGGGCTGCATTGACTTTTGCTTACCATGTTTGTTGCTTTTCTCCACTGTCCCCAAACATGAGTACCAAATTATAGGCAATTATACCAGCTAAGGAAATGGCTCAGGTGGAGGTGTGTAACTGATTGCACAAAATGCCCGTGATTCCACAGACAGCTCACAACTGTGGCATTTTGCCTGTACCTGTCATTACCTCATTTCATAACTGCATGCCTTACAAAGGCCAGGATACACCTTTGTCTGAAAATGCTGCCCTGTGCACATGGTGCAGCTCCATTTGCGAGGCACACAGCATGCAGGCGCAGGGAGCTGGTTGCCAAGGGCTTGCAAACCTGCAGGCATGCGTGCATGATTTCCCCACAGCACGGACTCACACAGATGACACGGAAACAGAAGCTCAGGGGAGTAGAAACGTCGCTGTCTCAAGGCACTACTGGGACAGACCTGGGCTGTGGCATTCACTCAAAACAAGGACAACGTGCACAAGATGCCCACTCCCAGAGCTCAGCAGCCGCACACGCAGTCATCGTTGTCAGGAAGGAGCATTTTGGTAAGAGAAACACAAAACGAACAGGGATGTCAGAGCAGGAACTGTTAGCACCGTGCTGTCCTCGCTTGTGTGCCCCGAGCCTACATGGGATGCATTCATCTTTTAAATTTATCTTTCAAGCGTCTGAACTCAGACAAGACCACTGCAATTAATGGGCGAGTTAAACACTACCAGATTACAATGCCCTGTTAACACCTGCATCTCTGATCCGCGCAGACGGCTTTGATATTATTTTTTTTCTTTTGACAAGTGGGCGATAGCGGATATCCTTTAAGCCCATATTTAATGAAGCCCTCCATAAATCCATCAACACTTGCTAAGGGAAACTACAATAAAGCTCATACTGCCATAGGCTTTGCTACGGAGGGAACATTTGGTGTTCTCATAATGAAGCTGCAGAGCAGAGACTTCTCACGCTGATCTGAGGAAGTGCAGGATTTGCATGGGATCTTTTCCCTCCTCGCACAATTACATGTTACAGATCAAGAGGAGGACAATATTCTTATTTTCAGAATAAGAATACTGTCAAGCTGTCATTCCTTTAGGACAGCTGTCAGATTTAAGGAACAAAGACAGAAAAAGGTGCTGATTTCAAGAAAAATAAACACCCATTTCATTCCGTTTGTGTTTGAGATGATTTTGCTATTAGGTTCAGCTGTTTTCTAAGCTGTTCCCATGCTGATTTTTACTGTTGTTACACATCCTGTGGGTGGGATCAAAGAAACGAAAACCTTTAAACTGAGAATAAATGGTTTATAAATTTGTCATACATTTTACGTTTGCAAATTTTACAAAAGCCATCTTTAGACATTGGTCATTGTGTCAGTTTGACAAAACCGACGGGGGAACAGAGGAAGGGATAATGAAGAAATTACACTTTTCCAAATCTGGACATAGTGAGCTGAGAATACATATGGAGATGTAGATACTGAAACCAGCCAACGAGTGACCGTCTGCTAAATGTTAAGGACCTGAGTAACCAAGGCTTCATCAGAACAGCCAGTGTGCCAGCAAATGGCTGTGTTTGCTGCTCTGAACATACAGACAGCACAGGGACAATTGTTTTTCCTGAAACAAATGTGCAGAGAAAGGTCTTCAGGAGTGTAAGGGGCTGCTAAGCCAACCCTGTTAACCTGACTAAGGAGCCCCCTCAGTCAACACATGCACGGGACTGCACAGCCATTGAGGACCTGGGAAGGTATCACACATGAAGGGTTGCAGCACAGGACACCCAGCAGTGTTTTGCTCCATGCAGCCCTGGTGCAAGCAGAGCTGGCCCTCACATTCCAGTAGCCCCCAGCATTGGTGCTGGTTTGAAAGCTGAGATGAGCTAACTGGAGTATGGACAAATGGCCGAGAGCAGTTATAATAAAAATGGTCTCTTATTTCTACTTTGGGTCACACTTACCCTTACATCTATCTAAGCAAAAGCATAGAAACTTTTCTACACAACAGTTAGCAAACTGTTTTCTAAAATTCTTTTTTATTTTTTTTTATTCTTCACTGTGTCCTGCTGGACCAGATGGGGATGGAATCCAGGAGCATCCTGACCCCACTGTACCACCATCCCAAGGGCATGCAGCCTGCAGATCCCCCCCACAGCCCCTCAGCGAGCAGCCCCTGTCAGAAGTTAATCTTTGGGCTACACGATGTGACAAGCAGCGAGACTCATAAGGAACTCTGAAAGGAGAGGGATGCTGCACTGGACTGGCTGGGATGGCCAGCACATAATTTAGGTACAATTTAGCTAAAAATCACACCAATAAATCAGCATCTGTCAGACACCTTCTCAAGTATCAGGCATTAACAGAAGGCTACAAGGAAATACTACTCTTTATAAGCAACTAAGTTCAGTTATTATAAGTTGCTTTTTAAGTTCAGAAAATAGAAAATATAAAACAGATAATGTAATAATTTCAGCAGTGTGCAACTGATGGTTTAGGTTATTTTTTTTTTGCTTCTGAGTTAC